AGAAGGCACCTGGCAGAAGGGGGAAAGTGGGGAAAGAGGGGAGGGGGTGGGTGAGACAAGCTCAAATGGGCAGGCGCTGCAGTGGCAGCTGGCAGAAAGGGGAGGGGAGAGGGTGGCTTGGACGTCTCACAGTTCCCCATGCCCCCTTACACCCCCCCCTTGAGAAAGAATGCACACAGGAACAACAAACAAGCAAGCAAAACAAACTGAAACAAACAAACAAACAAACAAACAGGAAATATTGGGATGGAAAGAGGGGACGGGGTGAGTGAGACCTCTTCAATCAACATGCGCTACACTGGCACCTGCTGGAAACGGGAGGACAGAGGGGAGGTGTTGAGTGTGACACCTCAAAACATTATGCCTTGCACTGGCACCTGCTGGAAAGGGGAGGAAAATGGCATCATGCAAGGAATGAGAAGGCATCATGCAGGGAACGGCAAGGCACCTTGAGGGAATGAGAAGGCATATGATTTTTATGTGCCCTAGTACATTGTTTTGCTTTTGTGTTCATACATTCATGCATCTTTCTGGCACCTGCACAAGGGGAGGGGAGGAGTTGGGGTGGGGGAGCAGAGCAAGTGAGCGGGGGGAGCAGGGCAAGTGAGCGGGGGGAGCACCCTAAACCCCCTGACCCTCTTACCTGGCAGGAAATGAGAAGGCACCATGAGGGAATGCGAATGCACCTGGCAGGGCATGCCAAGGCACCATGCAGGGCATGAGAATTTATCGGGCAGGGCATGAGAAGGCACCATGCAGGGCATGGGAAGGCACCTGGCAGAAGGGGGGAAGTGGGGAAAGAGGGGAGGGGGTGGGTGAGACATGCTCAAATAGGCAAGCGCTGCACTGGTACCTGGCAGAAAGGGGAGGGGAGAGGGTGGCCTGGATGTCTCAACGTTCCCCATGCCCCCTTACCGCCCCTTAAGCAAAGAATGCACACATGAACAAGAACAAGCAAGCAATCAAACTAAAACAAACAAACTGGAAATATGGGGAGGAAGGAGAGGAGGGGATGAGTGACACATCTCAAAACATTATGCGCCCTGCACTGCCACCTTCTGGAAAGGGGAGGACAGAGGGGAGGGGGTGAGTGAGACACCTCGAAACATTATGCCCTGCACTCCCACCTGCTGGAAAGGGGAGGTATGAGACGAGGGGGTGAGTGACACACCTCAGCATGCGCAGCACTGGCACCTGCTGGAAAGGGGAGGACAGAGAGGAGGAGGTGTGTGACACACCGCAAAACAACATGCGCAGCACTGGCACCTGCTGGAAAGGGGAGGACAGAGAGGAGGAGGTGTGTGACACACCGCAAAACAACATGCGCAGCACTGGCACCTGCTGGAAAGGGGAGGACAGAGAGGAGGAGGTGTGTGACACACCGCAAAACAACATGCGCAGCACTGGCACCTGCTGGAAAGGGGAGGACAGAGGGGAGGGGGTGAGTGAAACACCTCACAAAATTATGCCCTGCACCCCCACTCCGTGCTGCACCATCCGTCACACCACGCGCTGCTCTGGCAGCTGCTGAAACAGGGGGAGGGAGGGAAGGGGAGGGGAGTTGAGGGGGTGGGTTACATGACTAAAAACAAAGGAGAGAGAGGAGGGGATGGGTCACATGAATCAAAACAGAGGGGAGAGACAAGGGGATGGGTAACATGTCTCAAGAAGGGTTGAGGGTATCATATGAATGATACTATGTTTAGTTCTTGTATGTTCTTGTTTCTGTTCTTAGTTCTTGTTCTGGTTGTTTCTTTAGTCGTTGTTTCCGTTCTTCTCTCACCATGGGGCGGCGAGGCGAGGAGGCGAGGTGCTCGACAGCGGCGCGTGGAGGGCTGAGCCGCCCGCGTGGAGGGCTGAGCTGCCCGCGTGGAGGGCTGAGCCGCCCGCGTGGAGGGCTGAGCCGCCCGCGTGGAGGGCTGAGCCGCCCGCGTGGAGGGCTGAGCCGGCGTCCATGGGGTGGCCGACCCACCCCATACGCCATCAACACCACGTGCTGCAGTGGCTCATGCTGGAAGGGGTAGCCTGGTTGTAGGGTTTCGGGTTCAGAGTAAGAGGAGGGGGGAGAGAGAATGGGCAGGGTAAGTTCGGTGGGGAAATGAATGGGGCAAGTAATAATAATATGGGAAAACAGAATTTGATGTTTCTTTCCTTTCAATTGAAAAATTCCACTCCTTTCATCGTCTCAAGGCACCTAGCAGGGGATGACGAAGCATCAGGCAGGATATAAGTGGTTTGGGGAAAGGGCGAATTGTTTTCCCAATAATATCTATATTGGATCTTATTGTTTTTTATATACATGCTTCTTTTTTTTTGTCATGCTCTCATGTTTCAGTTGTGTTTAGTCTTTTTCTTGTACCTGGCGACGCGTTGTGATTTGAGCGCCTGGAGGCGCATGGAGGCTGCACTGGCACCGGCTCTGCTGTCCGCCAGAGCCGCGCCATGCGCCTCTGCTGTCCGCCACGGCCGCGCCATGCGCCGCCAGAGCGCCATGAGCAGCGGCGTCATTGTCGTTGGCGTGTCAGCGGCATGGCAATCGGCGTGACAGCAGTGTGGCATCGGTGCCCCGAAGCGGAACTAATCGGAAATCGCCATGTTTGGTGGCAGATTTTGGATGTGGAATGCCGCATTGCTGCTGGCTCCTGGAACGGCAGATGACGAGCTTGTGCTGGCTGCAGCGTGCCTGCCATGACCATGCACACGTCAGCAGGAACAAGGACAAGCAGAAATCGGAACAAACGGAGCTAAGAAGAGGGAATCTACAAAGAAAACGAAATTACGGGAAACAAGACTGAAGATAGCGTGAGTAAGAAAGCGGGCTTACGAAATACTAATGCCATGGCCCATGGCGGACGGCGATCCAAAAGAGAGGCTGCGCTCTTGAGTAGAATGGCTTGAGATTGAAACGAGATCTGAAAAACGAAACTACGATAGCGTGACTCCAACTAAGAAAGAAGGCTTACGAAATGGTGATGCCATGCCCCATGGCGGAGGGCGATCTAGAAGAGAGGCTCGGATGTTGAGTTGAGATAGAGTGGCGGATGATAAGAATCGAGGTCTGAAAAACGAGAGTGGGAGTTAGGTGAGCGATTGTGAGCCCAGCCCACTCACATCACGTTTCGTGCACTTTCTGGCTTGCTTGGTCCCCCTGAACGAACGTGGGTTCGTGGTGCAAAGTGGATGTACTGAAGTAGCGTTCTGCACAGTGCTACGTCGGCAGCGCAGTGACAAAGTCGGAAAGTCGGTTTGGGTGCCCTGCGTATATGCAGTCCGACACTCCGATACAGCGAGCGCGACCCAAAGTGAATGTGCCAGCATTTACAGTGACAAATTCGCAGCGCGAATAGGTTTCGCTCGTCAGCTGTGCCCAAAACGAGAACAGCAAAACAGTATCTTGCAAAACTACAGCTTTCCACATGGCAGTAAACAGAACCGATTTTGCTGATTTACAAGCTACACATGTAAGTTGACAAATATGTTTGTGTAATCTGGAGCTTATGCATGTAGGTCAACAAATCAATGATAAATTAGCTCTGGAATAATGAGCTGAATATTAAGGAGCGTGCGCATCTGCATGCGTATATGCATGAATACTCGCATGTCTGGTACCTACCTATTTAACCTAGACGCGCGTAGACATACGTATGCATGCGTACGTATGCCTTCATGCACGTAGTGCGTCTACCTACCGTACACACTCGTACGCGACGCATATGTACATAACTGTACATGCACCAACGCGTACGCACTCGTACGACCGACCTTTTTCTTTGCCCGCGCAAAGAGAGCCGTTGATGTCATCTCGCCGGGGACAATCGCTCTTGCTCGACTGATCGTCAAGTGTGACCGATTTTTGCCATTCTGCGCCGTGGTTACGCCAACAAATCGATCGGTTGGATGCTGAGCGAGACAAGCTTCACTTCCACCATTGGGTTGGGATAGAAAGAGAGAGACACGAAGGGCAGCGAGCCACATAGAGGGAGTGATGGAGGTGCAAGGAAGAGAAGGGGGGTTGAGCCTCCGTTGTTAAGGAGGTTTAGGGGGTGCAGGAATGCCCGAGATAACCACAACAAGGAAAGGGTGAATGCTAATAAGACGATCAAAGTCGTTGTATAGTGGACCTATTTTAGGCCAAAATAACGACTTTGATTGTGCTTTGTAACCTGATTACAGGCCAGACAGTAACTTTTGTTCTCCCTGAGTCCCAAAGATAAATTTGCAACACACCTGAAACGCTAGCGAATGCTAGGCATCATTTTATGCCTTTGTGTTGAATGGCGAAATGGGTACAGTTCTGTATCGAGGCGCAATTGCAGCTCTTGGCGGGGATGTTATACTGTTCCCGTCGTTGTGAAGTTGCAGCGAGCGAGTGACTCGGCTGTAACCTTCGGTGTAGGTTGCAACGAGCGATTGACGCAGCGCGCTCGCGACAGTTGCGATATCGCGCTGTCGCACGCACCAAGTTCTTCACCCCCCCTTCCCACCCCCCAACGCAGAGTTTGTCGCTTCTCTAATCCCCATCCCATCACATCCCACCTAACACCCCCTTGACTGTTTAGTACAGCACCTACCAGATGGAACACCACCCATTCCAACCGCTTCGAACCCTTGCTAATCGAGTCAAGCTGAAACCTAGCAGAAGAAATCGAACACTCCCCCAAGGGAGTGGGACTCTAATTAGCTGTTCGTTCGGATTGTATTTAGCTGTTGGTCGTAATTAGCTGTTCGTTTAGATTCAGACGGTGACGCTTCTAGTTAGAATGCGTGGGCAGAGATAAGGCTCCTCCTCGCCATCCCCGCACACCCTGACCTGACTAGCCTATCAGTGCAGCGTCGGATAGGTATCTCGCACATCGTTCCAGCTGTCACGAGTCGCTCTTATCACCTTAGCGCGGTGCAATCGGGCCCGTGTAACCCTAGGTGTGACGTGATCGTGCAATGGGGCGTGTGTGCGGCAGCCGCATCAACGCCATGGCGCAATGCAATAGCAACAGCCTGCTATGAGTCGCTCACGGGTCCACGCGCCCGTGCGCCCTGCTTTACGTGCGCCCACGCGCTCCTGCGCCGTGCGTTCCGTGCACCCACACGCACGTGTGCCGTCCTTTCTGTGCGCTCACGCGCTCCTGCACCCTGCTTTCCGTGCGCCCGCGCGATCCTGCGCTTTGCTTTCCGTGCGCCCACGTGCCCGTGCACCGTGCTTTCCATGCGCTCACGCTCACTTGCGCCGTGCTTGCGTGCGCTCACGTGCTCGTGCACTCAGGCGCGCCGCTCTCGCCTGCGTGGCATGCGCGAGTCCGCGGCGAAGCAGCAGGCGGCATCCCCCGGCGCGCCCACGCCTTCCGCCGCCCTCTCCGCACTCCCCTCCCCCGACTTCTCCCCCACCGCTTATGCGTAAATGCACCAGGGGTATGTGGGCAACAAGGCGGCGGTCTTCCCCCTGCAACTGCTGGGCTTCGATGTGGACCCAATCAACTCCGTGCAGCTCTCCAACCACACTGGTGCGATGCTGTTGGTTGGTTACCTGGTAACCATATTGGTGAGAATGGTAAGCCCTCCCCACGCTGCAGGGCTTCGATGTGCCCCCCCTCAACTCCGTGCAGCTCTCCAACCGCACTGGCGAGAATGTTGGTAACTGCGTTGGTGTGCATAGTGGTAACCACATGGGTGCTTCATGGTAACCGCACACTGGCGAGAGTGGTAACCACTCCCCACCCTGCAGCTGCTGGGCTTTGATGTGGCCCCCCTCAACTCCGTGCAGCTCTCCAACCACACTGGTACGATGCTGTTGGTTACTTGGTAACTGTACTGGCGCAATGGTGTTGGGTACCTGGTAACCACACTAGTGCAATGCTGCTAGTTACTTGGTAACCACACTGGTGAGAGTGGTAAGCCCTCCCCACCCTGCTGTGTCACCGGTGCATGTAGGTGGTAACTGCACCGGTGCATGTGGGTAACTGCACCGGTGCATGTTGGTGGTAACTGCACTGGTGCATGTTGGTGGTAACTGCACCGGTGCATGTTGGTGGTAACTGCACCGGTGCGTGTTGGTGGTAACTGCACTGGTGCATGTTGGTGGTAACTGCACCGGTGCATGTTGGTGGTAACTGCACTGGTGCATGTTGGTAACTGCACTGGTGCATATAGTGGTCACCACACCGGTGGTGGTAACCAAACTGGTGTGACTGTTGGTAACCACACTGGTGCGAATGTTGGCAACTGCACTGGTGTGAATGTTGGTAACCGCACTGGCGCATATAATGGTAAGAGGGGCCCTTGTCTCTACTCTGTGACACGAGTGCCTTGAGGTTCATGCATCCCGTGTGTGCAGGGTAACCCATGTCTGTCATCCCTCTGTTCCCTGCTTGCCTGCCCGCTCCATGCCCCATCAATCCCATGCAGGGTACCCCACGTGGAAGGGGCAGATTCTGGATGGAGAGCAGCTGTGGGCGCTAATAGAGGGCTTGGAGGCCAATGGGCTGCTCTTCTACACGCACCTGCTCACCGGTGGGTTCCAGGTGCATGATCACCTGTAGCTTCGAAACAGCACATCGCACATGGCTATGCAATTTCTCTTACACTTACCATGCCTCTTGTCATGCCATTTCACATGCCCCCTCACATGCCATTCCACATCAGACATGGGCATTTTGACCTGACAGGTTGGGTCGTCGGGTCGGGTCTAGGACAGGCCGACCGGACCCGGTCAAGTCGACTTGCGACCCGTAGATTCATATGTCAGTCGGGTCGGGTCAAACCGACCCGTTGACGGGTCGCACTGGACCCGCCTATGATCACCCAATCTTCTACGCACCATCAGATCTGTTTGAGTCCTGGCGCGCACATCAGCAGCCGCGCTTCCCACAACCAGAGAGTAGTGCGCGCCACCCCACAGAGCAGCGCGCGTTACTCCCACCTGCATACAGCGCTCGCTCCCATTATTGAAAATACTAAGCAGAGTGCGCCACGTCAGGCAGCAAAGTGCGCGCCACTCCCAACTGCCAACTCACATGCCCTTTCAAATGCCATACCTCATGCCGTTTTACATACCATGTGACACGCCTTACATATCCCATCCCCCATACCATCCCCCATGCCTTCCCCCATACCATCCCCCATGCCATCCTACTTCAACGCCACACATGCAGGGAAAAGGGGATTTAGTGGCAGCATTGCTGCTTGGATGGTCTCATGTAATCCGTTGCCGCATGGCAAGCATCTCATTGCGTCTCAGTCCTATATTCGAACCCACATGCCATCCCCCATGCCATCCCACATGCAGGGAACAGGAGATTTGATGACAGCATTGCTGCTTGGATGGTCACATGTGAGCGGGGCAGTTGCAGCATGGTGCTGCATTTCACAGTGCTGGTTACATTTCACAGTGCTGGTTACCTCACAGTGCTGGTTACATCTCACAGTGCTGGTTACATTTCACAGTGGTGGTTACCTCACAGTGCTGGTTACATCTCACAGTGCTGGTTACATCTCACAGTGCTGGTTACATCTCACAGTGCTGGTTACATCTGACAGTACTGGTTACATCTCACAGTGCAGTGATGGTTACATCTGACTGTGCTGGTTACATCTCACAGTGCTGGTTACATCTCACAGTGTTACATCTCACAATGCTGGTTACATCTCACTCTTCTGGTTACATTGACTCAATCTGCTCCTCATTCTCTCAGCTCCTCTCCTCCCATTCTCTCCCTCACACACTTTCCTTTCCCCCCTCTCTCCCTCTTTCCCTCCCTCCTTCCCTCCCTCTCTCCCTCTTTGCCTTCCTCCTTCCCTCCCTCTCTCCCTCCTTTCATCAGAAGTATCCTCACGACTTGGCTAGAGCAGCGGAGCTAGCAGTGGCATCCCTACAGGTGAGCAGCTGCTGTTGCGCCTCGTGCTTGTGTTTGTTGATGCTCTGCTGTGTTTTTAATGTTCGTCTAGCTTTTCTGTTTCAATAGCAGAGCTGGCAGTGGCATTGGGCTGTCCATGGCTTTGAGGCAAGCTATATGAGCAGAGTTGGCATTGGCAACCCGTGGCATTGCAACCTTCCTGACCTGATTGCTCCTCTCCTCCCATTCTTTCTCCCTACAGGTTGTGCTCGCACGAACCTTGCAGCACCGCTCTCCACCTCTGACGGCACCGAGTCCTCTCCCACTCCCCCCACTCCCAAGCGCCTGGAGCTCTGCCTCGTTCAGAGCCGCGATGATATTATAAGCCCGCCTGTTGTGTTACGTGCACAAGCGGTTGAAAGCGGTGTAGATGGTTTAGATGGATTGCAAGATGGTGAAAGTGCCTTGGTGAGTGGTGACAGCGTAGGGGTGCTGCAGGATAAGGGAGTTGATGCTCAGCTGACAACTGAGAGCTGAGTTGAATGTACTGTAAAAAGAAAACACTCAACTGTTTTTGGCCAGGTGAGGCACTTCCCTGAGCACAATTAACACTAAGAAAAGGACCAGGCGAATTCGAACTCACAAGCTGTTACGCTTCAATATTTCGGAGAGAGGGTTATGCTAGTGGTCCTGTGTTGAATTAACTTGGTAGGTATAATGTTATACTACAAGCAAGTGATTTCCGTACTAAGCTCTCTTGTCAAGCATCATGGAGGACGCAGAGCCGCTGCGCGCGCTCTCCGCCCACATCGCGTAAAAACGGACGCGGGTATCGCCCTTACTTAGATAGTCTCCCTCAGCTTTCCGCTCTATCGCCGCGTTCCTTCCGTCCCTAGTCCCTCCCCGCGCTGCGCGCGCTCTCCGTCCACAGCGCGTGACGCGGACCGTACTTGTCTCCCGCCGAGTAGCCATGGAGGACGCAGAGGCGCGCCGCTCTCGCCTGCGCAGCATGCGCGAGTCCGCGGCGAAGCAGCAGGCGGCGTCCCCCGGCGCGCCCACGCCTTCCGCCGCCCTCTCCGCACTCCCCTCCCCCGACTTCTCTCCGCCGCTTATCCGCACGCATCTGCGTGTGCGCCATCCGGGGAAGGCGGACCTGGGGGAGGTAGATCTGCTAGACGGCCAGCAGGAGCAGCCACCACAGGCTCGGGGAATTTCTCACAGGCCTCATGTAAATATCTTCAAAGCTCTAGCGTGTTTGTCTTAAAGCCCTATCATTCTCAGCTTCCGAGGTACCTGATCTACCCTACTCCCCAGCACCACGAGTGTCAAGTGCTGCCGTTTATGATTCCCAAGTCATCTCTCAAGCATTTCTCGTGTCATGTCGTGCTGGTGCCGCACCGTGCCGGGTCGCGCCGTGCCGTGCCTTGTCGTATCCTGTATGCCGACCGTATGTCGAAAATGTCCATCGGGGAACTACCTTGAGGCAGAAGCAACTCAACGTCTCTCCCTCCCCATGTGTGATGCACCCTCCAACTGCCTGTCTAACTAATATGGGCCCTTCTCCCAGGTTGAATAGAAAAAACCCCTGTTTCTGGCCTCCGTTTCCCTCCCTTGCAACATCCGGACTCAAGCAGACGCCATCACTGCATGTGACATGCTGCGCGCTGCAGGGCCCAGGAAGGTATGCGAGGCTACAGGGGAGGAAGAACAGTGGGTAGGTAGGTGAGGGGGACTTTCTGGAATCTCAATACTGTTTCGAACAAACGTGTGGACAGAGGGGAGGGGGTGAGTGAGACACCTCGAAACATTATGCCCTGCACTCCCACCTGCTGGAAAGGGGAGGAAAGAGTGACACACCTCAGCATGCGCAGCACTGGCACCTGCTGGAAAGGGGAGGACAGAGAGGAGGAGGTGTGTGACACACCGCAAAACAACATGCGCAGCACTGGCACCTGCTGGAAAGGGGAGGACAGAGAGGAGGAGGTGTGTGACACACCGCAAAACAACATGCGCAGCACTGGCACCTGCTGGAAAAGGGAGGACAGAGGGGAGGGGGTGAGTGAAACACCTCACAAAATTATGCCCTGCACCCCCACTCCGTGCTGCACCATCCGTCACACCACACGTTGCGCTGGCAGCTGCTGAAACAGGGGGAGGGAGGGAAGGGGAGGGGAGTTGAGGGGGTGGGTTACATGACTAAAAACAAAGGAGAGAGAGGAGGGGATGGGTCACATGACTCAAAACAGAGGGGAGAGACAAGGGGATGGGTAACAAGTCTCAAGAGGGGTTGAGGATATCATATGAATGATACTATGTTTAGTTCTTGTATGTTCTTGTTTCTGTTCTTAGTTCTTGTTTTGGTTGTTTCTTGAGCCGTTGTTTCCGTTCTTCTCTCACCATGGGGCGGCGAGGTGAGGAGGCGAGGTGCTCGACAGCGGCGCGTGGAGGGCTGAGCCGCCCGCGTGGAGGGCTGAGCCGCCCGCGCGGAGGGCTGAGCCGCCCGCGTGGAGGGCTGAGCCGCCCACGTGGAGGGCTGAGCCGCCCGCGTGGAGGGCTGAGCTGCCCGTGTGGAGGGCTGAGCCGGCGTCCATGGGGTGGCCGACCCACCCCATGCGCCATCAACACCACGTGCTGCAGTGGCTCATGCTGGAAGGGGTAGCCTGGTTGTAGGGTTTCGGGTTCAGAGGGAGCGGAGGGAGAGGAGACGTGATTGGAAATTGAACTGAGCATTCTCACGAACAGCAGCGCCTTGCACCCAGAGTCCACACTCGCGAACCAAGGCTGTGGGATGTCGAGGGGAGGGCGAACAGCAGGGGCAAGGGGAGGGAGAAAGACGAGCAGAGAAAGGGGAGTTAGAGGGAGAGGGAGGGGTGATGATGGATCCTCAGAAACAGCGGCGCCTTGCACCTAAACTCACAGTGCATGCTCTGGGGCGACTCACAACACACATGCGGCTGGTTTGGTGGGCCATGCGGCATGGCATGGCGCTGCGCTCCCTCCCCCTGCTTCTGTTTCTCTCCCTTGTTCTCTCTCATGTCCCGCGCATGGATGATGAGGGACGGCCACACAAGCAGCTGGCAACGCATCTGCTCCCTGTGCAAAGTATCTTCATCTTGGCGACAGGAGAAACTGGCACCTGCGCAAGGGGAGGGGAGGAGTTGGGGTGGGGGAGCAGAGCAAGTGAGCGGGGGGAGCAGGGCAAGTGAGTGGTGTAGCAGAGCAGGTGAGTGGTGCGGCAGAGCAGGTGAGTGGTGCGGCAGAGCAGGTGAGTGGTGCGGCAGAGCAGGTAGGTGGTGCGGCAGAGCAGGTGAGTGGTGCGGCAGAGCAGGTGAGTGGTGCGGCAGAGCAGGTGAGTGGTGCGGCAGAGCAGGTGAGTGGTGCGGCAGAGCAGGTGAGTGGTGCGGCAGAGCAGGTGAGTGGTGCGGCAGAGCAGGTGAGTGGTGCGGCAGAGCAGGTGAGTGGTGCGGCAGAGCAGGTGAGAGGTGCGGCAGAGCAGGTGAGTGGTGCGGCAGAGCAGGTGAGTGGTGCGGCAGAGCAGGTGAGTGGTGTAGCAGAGCAGGTGAGTGGTGCGGCAGAGCAGGTGAGTGGTGCGGCAGAGCAGGTGAGTGGTGCGGCAGAGCAGGTGAGTGGTGCGGCAGAGCATGTGAGTGGTGCGGCAGAGCAGGTGAGTGGTGCGGCAGAGCAGGTGAGTGGTGTAGCAGAGCAGGTGAGTGGTGCGGCAGAGCAGGTGAGTGGTGCGGCAGAGCAGGTGAGTGGTGCGGCAGAGCAGGTGAGTGGTGCGGCAGAGCAGGTGAGTGGTGCGGCAGAGCAGGTGAGTGGTGCAGCAGAGCAGGTGAGTGGTGCGGCAGAGCAGGTGAGTGGTGCAGCAGAGCAGGTGAGTGGTGCAGCAGAGCAGGTGAGTGGTGCGCCGGAGCAGGTGAGTGGTGCAACAGAGCAGGTGAGTGGTGCGGCAGAGCAGGCGAGTGGTGCAGCAGAGCAGGTGAGTGGTGCAGCAGAGCAGGTGAGTGGTGCAGCAGAGCAGGTGAGTGGTGCGGCAGAGCAGGTGAGTGGTGCAGCAGAGCAGGTGAGTGGTGCGGCAGAGCAGGTGAGTGGTGTAGCAGAGCAGGTGAGTGGTGCGGCAGAGCAGGTGAGTGGTGCGGCAGAGCAGGTGAGTGGTGCGGCAGAGCAGGTGAGTGGTGCGGCAGAGCAGGTGAGTGGTGCGGCAGAGCAGGTGAGTGGTGCGGCAGAGCAGGTGAGTGGTGCAGCAGAGCAGGTGAGTGGTGCGGCAGAGCAGGTGAGTGGTGCGGCAGAGCAGGTGAGTGGTGCAGCAGAGCAGGTGAGTGGTGCGGCAGAGCAGGTGAGTGGTGCGGCAGAGCAGGTGAGTGGTGCGGCAGAGCAGGTGAGTGGTGCGGCAGAGCAGGTGGGTGGTGTAGCAGAGCAGGTGAGTGGTGCGGCAGAGCAGGTGAGTGGTGCGGCAGAGCAGGTGAGTGGTGCGGCAGAGCAGGTGAGTGGTGCGGCAGAGCAGGTGAGTGGTGCAGCAGAGCAGGTGAGTGGTGCGGCAGAGCAGGTGAGTGGTGCAGCAGAGCAGGTGAGTGGTGCAGCAGAGCAGGTGAGTGGTGCGGCAGAGCAGGTGAGTGGTGCAGCAGAGCAGGTGAGTGGTGCGGCAGAGCAGGTGAGTGGTGCAGCAGAGCAGGCGAGTGGTGCAGCAGAGCAGGTGAGTGGTGCGGCAGAGCAGGTGAGTGGTGCGGCAGAGCAGGTGAGTGGTGCAGCAGAGCAGGTGAGTGGTGCAGCAGAGCAGGTGAGTGGTGCGGCAGAGCAGGTGAGTGGTGCGGCAGAGCAGGTGAGTGGTGCGGCAGAGCAGGTGAGTGGTGCAGCAGAGCAGGTGAGTGGTGCGGCAGAGCAGGTGAGTGGTGCAGCAGAGCAGGTGAGTGGTGCGGCAGAGCAGGTGAGTGGTGCGGCAGAGCAGGTGAGTGGTGCAGCAGAGCAGGTGAGTGGTGCGGCAGAGCAGGTGAGTGGTGCAGCAGAGCAGGTGAGTGGTGCAGCAGAGCAGGTGAGTGGTGCGGCAGAGCAGGTGAGTGGTGCAGCAGAGCAGGTGAGTGGTGCGGCAGAGCAGGTGAGTGGTGCAGCAGAGCAGGCGATTGGTGCAGCAGAGCAGGTGAGTGGTGCGGCAGAGCAGGTGAGTGGTGCGGCAGAGCAGGTGAGTGGTGCAGCAGAGCAGGTGAGTGGTGCAGCAGAGCAGGTGAGTGGTGCGGCAGAGCAGGTGAGTGGTGCGGCAGAGCAGGTGAGTGGTGCGGCAGAGCAGGTGAGTGGTGCGGCAGAGCAGGTGAGTGGTGCAGCAGAGCAGGTGAGTGGTGCAGCAGAGCAGGTGAGTGGTGCAGCAGAGCAGGTGAGTGGTGCGGCAGAGCAGGTGAGTGGTGCGGCAGAGCAGGTGAGTGGTGCAGCAGAGCAGGTGAGTGGTGCGGCAGAGCAGGTGAGTGGTGCGGCAGAGCAGGGAGTGGTGTGGCAGAGCAGATGAGTGGTGCGGCAGAGCAGGTGAGTGGTGCGGCAAAGCAGGTGAGTGGTGCAGCAGAGCAGGTGAGTGGTGCGGCAGAGCAGGTGAGTGGTGCGGCAGAGCAGGTGAGTGGTGCAGCAGAGCAGGTGAGTGGTGCAGCAGAGCAGGTGAGTGGTGTGGCAGAGCAGGTGAGTGGTGCAGCAGAGCAGGTGAGTGGTGCGGCAGAGCAGGTGAGTGGTGCAGCAGAGCAGGTGAGTGGTGCAGCAGAGCAGGTGAGTGGTGCAGCAGAGCAGGTGAGTGGTGCGGCAGAGCAGGTGAGTGGTGCGGCAGAGCAGGTGAGTGGTGCGGCAGAGCAGGTGAGTGGTGCGGCAGAGCAGGTGAGTGGTGCGGCAGAGCAGGTGAGTGGTGCGGCAGAGCAGGTGAGTGGTGCAGCAGAGCAGGTGAGTGGTGCGGCAGAGCAGGTGAGTGGTGCGGCAGAGCAGGTGAGTGGTGCAGCAGAGCAGGTGAGTGGTGCAGCAGAGCAGGTGAGTGGTGCAGCAGAGCAGGTGAGTGGTGCGGCAGAGCAGGTGAGTGGTGCGGCAGAGCAGGTGAGTGGTGCGGCAGAGCAGGTGAGTGGTGCGGCAGAGCAGGTGAGTGGTGCGGCAGAGCAGGTGAATGGTGCGGCAGAGCAGGTGAGTGGTGCGGCAGAGCAGGTGAGTGGTGTAGCAGAGCTGGTGAGTGGTGCGGCAGAGCAGGTGAGTGGTGCGGCAGAGCAGGTGAGTGGTGCGGCAGAGCAGGTGAGTGGTCAGGTGAGTGGTGCAGCAGAGCAAGTGAGTGGTGCGGCAGAGCAGGTGAGTGGTGCAGCAGAGCAAGTGAGTGGTGCAGCAGAGCAGGTGAGTGGTGCAGCAGAGCAGGTGATTGGTGCAGCAGAGCAGGTGAGTGGTGCGGCAGGGCAGGTGAGTGGTGCAGCAGAGCAGGTGAGTGGTGCAGCAGAGCAGGTGAGTGGTGCGGCAGAGCAGGTGAGTGGTGCGGCAGAGCAGGTGAGTGGTGCAGCAGAGCAGGTGAGTGGTGCAGCAGAGCAGGTGAGTGGTGCAGCAGAGCAGGTGAGTGGTGCAGCAGAGCAGGTGAGTGTTGCGGCAGAGCAGGTGAGTGGTGCGGCAGAGCAGGTGAGTGGTGCAGCAGAGCAGGTGAGTGGTGCGGCAGAGCAGGTGAGTGGTGCGGCAGAGCAGGTGAGTGGTGCAGCAGAGCAGGTGAGTGGTGCGGCAGAGCAGGTGAGCGGTGCGGCAGAGCAGGTGAGTGGTGCGGCAGAGCAGATGAGTGGTGCGGCAGAGCAGGTGAGTGGAGCGGCAGAGCAGGTGAGTGGTGCGGCAGAGCAGGTGAGTGGTGCGGCAGAGCAGGTGAGTGGTGCGGCAGAGCAGGTGAGTGGTGCAGCAGAGCATGTGAGTGGTGCAGCAGAGCAGGTGAGTGGTGCAGCAGAGCAGGTGAGTGGTGCGGCAGAGCAGGTGAGTGGTGCAGCAGAGCAGGTGAGTGGTGCGGCAGAGCAGGTGAGTGGTGCGGCAGAGCAGGTGAGTGGTGCGGCAGAGCAGGTGAGTGGTGCGGCAGAGCAGGTGAGTGGTGCAGCAGAGCAGGTGAGTGGTGCGGCAGAGCAGGTGAGTGGTGCGGCAGAGCAGGTGAGTGGTGCAGCAGAGCAGGTGAGAGGTGCGGCAGAGCAGGTGAGTGGTGCGGCAGAGCAGGTGAGTGGTGCGGCAGAGCAGGTGAGTGGTGCGGCAGAGCAGGTGAGTGGTGCGGCAGAGCAGGTGAGTGGTGCAGCAGAGCAGGTGAGTGGTGCGGCAGAGCAGGTGAGTGGTGCGGCAGAGCAGGTGAGTGGTGCGGCAGAGCAGGTGAGTGGTGCAGCAGAGCAGGTGAGTGGTGCGGCAGAGCAGGTGAGTGGTGCGGCAGAGCAGATGAGTGGTGCGGCAGAGCAGGTGAGTGGTGCGGCAGAGCAGGTGAGTGGTGCGGCAGAGCAGGTGAGTGGTGCGGCAGAGCAGGTGAGTGGTTCGGCAGAGCAGGTGAGTGGTGCGGCAGAGCAGATGAGTGGTGCGGCAGAGCAGGTGAGTGGTGCGGCAGAGCAGGTGAGTGGTGCGGCAGAGCAGGTGAGTGGTGCGGCAGAGCAGGTGAGTGGTGCAGCAGAGCAGGTGAGTGGTGCGGCAGAGCAGGTGAGTGGTGCGGCAGAGCAGGTGAGTGGAGCAGCAGAGCAGGTGAGTGGTGCAGCAGAGCAGGTGAGTGGTGCAGCAGAGCAGGTGAGTGGTGCGGCAGAGCAGGTGAGTGGTGCGGCAGAGCAGGTGAGTGGTGCAGCAGAGCAGGTGAGTGGTGCGGCAGAGCAGGTGAGTGGTGCGGCAGAGCAGGTGAGTGGTGCGGCAGAGCAGATGAGTGGTGCGGCAGAGCAGGTGAGTGGTGCGGCAGAGCAGGTGAGTGGTGCAGCAGAGCAGGTGAGTGGTGCGGCAGAGCAGGTGAGTGGTGCAGCAGAGCAGGTGAGTGGTGCAGCAGAGCAGGTGAGTGGTGCAGCAGAGCAGGTGAGTGGTGTGGCAGAGCAGGTGAGTGGTGCAGCAGAGCAGGTGAGTGGTGCGGCAGAGCAGGTGAGTGGTGCAGCAGAGCAGGTGAGTGGTGCAGCAGAGCAGGTGAGTGGTGCAGCAGAGCAGGTGAGTGGTGCGGCAGAGCAGGTGAGTGGTGCGGCAGAGCAGGTGAGTGGTGCGGCAGAGCAGGTGAGTGGTGCGGCAGAGCAGGTGAGTGGTGCGGCAGAGCAGGTGAGTGGTGCGGCAGAGCAGGTGAGTGGTGCGGCAGAGCAGGTGAGTGGTGCGGCAGAGCAGGTGAGTGGTGCGGCAGAGCAGGTGAGTGGTGCGGCAGAGCAGGTGAGTGGTGCGGCAGAGCAGGTGAGTGGTGCGGCAGAGCAGGTGAGTGGTGCGGCAGAGCAGGTGAGTGGTGCGGCAGAGCAGGTGAGTGGTGCGGCAGAGCAGGTGAGTGGTGCGGCAGAGCAGGTGAGTGGTGCGGCAGAGCAGGTGAGTGGTGCGGCAGAGCAGGTGAGTGGTGCGGCAGAGCAGGTGAGTGGTGCGGCAGAGCAGGTGAGTGGTGCGGCAGAGCAGGTGAGTGGTGCGGCAGAGCAGGTGAGTGGTGCGGCAGAGCAGGTGAGTGGTGCGGCAGAGCAGGTGAGCGGTGCGGCAGAGCAGGTGAGCGGTGCGGCAGAGCAGGTGAGTGGTGCGGCAGAGCAGGTGAGTGGTGCGGCAGAGCAGGTGAGTGGTGCGGCAGAGCAGGTGAGTGGTGCAGCAGAGCAGGTGAGTGGTGCGGCAGAGCAGGTGAGTGGTGCAGCAGAGCAGGCGAGTGGTGCAGCAGAGCAGGTGAGTGGTGCGGCAGAGCAGGTGAGTGGTGTGGCAGAGCAGGTGAGTGGTGCAGCAGAGCAGGTGAGTGGTGCAGCAGAGCAGGTGAGTGGTGCGGCAGAGCAGGTGAGTGGTGCGGCAGAGCAGGTGAGTGGTGCGGCAGAGCAGGTGAGTGGTGCAGCAGAGCAGGTGAGTGGTGCGGCAGAGCAGGTGAGTGGTGCAGCAGAGCAGGTGAGTGGTGCGGCAGAGCAGGTGAGTGGTGCGGCAGAGCAGGTGAGTGGTGCAGCAGAGCAGGTGAGTGGTGCGGCAGAGCAGGTGAGTGGTGCAGCAGAGCAGGTGAGTGGTGCAGCAGAGCAGGTGAGTGGTGCGGCAGAGCAGGTGAGTGGTGCAGCAGAGCAGGTGAGTGGTGCGGCAGAGCAGGTGAGTGGTGCAGCAGAGCAGGCGAGTGGTGCAGCAGAGCAGGTGAGTGGTGCGGCAGAGCAGGTGAGTGGTGCGGCAGAGCAGGTGAGTGGTGCAGCAGAGCAGGTGAGTGGTGCAGCAGAGCAGGTGAGTGGTGCGGCAGAGCAGGTGAGTGGTGCGGCAGAGCAGGTGAGTGGTGCGGCAGAGCAGGTGAGTGGTGCGGCAGAGCAGGTGAGTGGTGCAGCAGAGCAGGTGAGTGGTGCAGCAGAGCAGGTGAGTGGTGCAGCAGAGCAGGTGAGTGGTGCGGCAGAGCAGGTGAGTGGTGCGGCAGAGCAGGTGAGTGGTGCAGCAGAGCAGGTGAGTGGTGCGGCAGAGCAGGTGAGTGGTGCGGCAGAGCAGGTGAGTGGTGTGGCAGAGCAGATGAGTGGTGCGGCAGAGCAGGTGAGTGGTGCGGCAGAGCAGGTGAGTGGTGCAGCAGAGCAGGTGAGTGGTGCGGCAGAGCAGGTGAGTGGTGCGGCAGAGCAGGTGAGTGGTGCAGCAGAGCAGGTGAGTGGTGCAGCAGAGCAGGTGAGTGGTGTGGCAGAGCAGGTGAGTGGTGCAGCAGAGCAGGTGAGTGGTGCGGCAGAGCAGGTGAGTGGTGCAGCAGAGCAGGTGAGTGGTGCAGCAGAGCAGGTGAGTGGTGCAGCAGAGCAGGTGAGTGGTGCGGCAGAGCAGGTGAGTGGTGCGGCAGAGCAGGTGAGTGGTGCGGCAGAGCAGGTGAGTGGTGCGGCAGAGCAGGTGAGTGGTGCGGCAGAGCAGGTGAGTGGTGCGGCAGAGCAGGTGAGTGGTGCAGCAGAGCAGGTGAGTGGTGCGGCAGAGCAGGTGAGTGGTGCGGCAGAGCAGGTGAGTGGTGCAGCAGAGCAGGTGAGTGGTGCAGCAGAGCAGGTGAGTGGTGCAGCAGAGCAGGTGAGTGGTGCGGCAGAGCAGGTGAGTGGTGCGGCAGAGCAGGTGAGTGGTGCGGCAGAGCAGGTGAGTGGTGCGGCAGAGCAGGTGAGTGGTGCGGCAGAGCAGGTGAATGGTGCGGCAGAGCAGGTCAGTGGTGCGGCAGAGCAGGTGAGTGGTGTAGCAGAGCAGGTGAGTGGTGCAGCAGAGCAGGTGAGTGGTGCAGCAGAGCAGGTGAGTGGTGCAGCAGAGCAGGTGAGTGGTGCGGCAGAGCAGGTGAGTGGTGCGGCAGAGCAGGTGAGTGGTGCGGCAGAGCAGGTGAGTGGTGCGGCAGAGCAGGTGAGTGGTGCGGCAGAGCAGGTGAGTGGTGCAGCAGAGCAGGTGAGTGGTGCGGCAGAGCAGGTGAGTGGTGCAGCAGAGCAAGTGAGTGGTGCAGCAGAGCAGGTGAGTGGTGCAGCAGAGCAGGTGATTGGTGCAGCAGAGCAGGTGAGTGGTGCGGCAGGGCAGGTGAGTGGTGCAGCAGAGCAGGTGAGTGGTGCAGCAGAGCAGGTGAGTGGTGCGGCAGAGCAGGTGAGTGGTGCGGCAGAGCAGGTGAGTGGTGCAGCAGAGCAGGTGAGTGGTGCAGCAGAGCAGGTGAGTGGTGCAGCAGAGCAGGTGAGTGGTGCAGCAGAGCAGGTGAGTGTTGCGGCAGAGCAGGTGAGTGGTGCGGCAGAGCAGGTGAGTGGTGCAGCAGAGCAGGTGAGTGGTGCGGCAGAGCAGGTGAGTGGTGCGGCAGAGCAGGTGAGTGGTGCAGCAGAGCAGGTGAGTGGTGCGGCAGAGCAGGTGAGCGGTGCGGCAGAGCAGGTGAGTGGTGCGGCAGAGCAGATGAGTGGTGCGGCAGAGCAGGTGAGTGGAGCAGCAGAGCAGGTGAGTGGTGCGGCAGAGCAGGTGAGTGGTGCGGCAGAGCAGGTGAGTGGTGCGGCAGAGCAGGTGAGTGGTGCAGCAGAGCATGTGAGTGGTGCAGCAGAGCAGGTGAGTGGTGCAGCAGAGCAGGTGAGTGGTGCGGCAGAGCAGGTGAGTGGTGCAGCAGAGCAGGTGAGTGGTGCGGCAGAGCAGGTGAGTGGTGCGGCAGAGCAGGTGAGTGGTGCGGCAGAGCAGGTGAGTGGTGCGGCAGAGCAGGTGAGTGGTGCAGCAGAGCAGGTGAGTGGTGCGGCAGAGCAGGTGAGTGGTGCGGCAGAGCAGGTGAGTGGTGCAGCAGAGCAGGTGAGTGGTGCGGCAGAGCAGGTGAGTGGTGCGGCAGAGCAGGTGAGTGGTGCGGCAGAGCAGGTGAGTGGTGCGGCAGAGCAGGTGAGTGGTGCGGCAGAGCAGGTGAGTGGTGCAGCAGAGCAGGTGAGTGGTGCGGCAGAGCAGGTGAGTGGTGCGGCAGAGCAGGTGAGTGGTGCGGCAGAGCAGGTGAGTGGTGCAGCAGAGCAGGTGAGTGGTGCGGCAGAGCAGGTGAGTGGTGCGGCAGAGCAGATGAGTGGTGCGGCAGAGCAGGTGAGTGGTGCGGCAGAGAAGGTGAGTGGTGCGGCAGAGCAGGTGAGTGGTGCGGCAGAGCAGGTGAGTGGTGCGGCAGAGCAGGTGAGTGGTGCGGCAGAGCAGATGAGTGGTGCGGCAGAGCAGGTGAGTGGTGCGGCAGAGCAGGTGAGTGGTGCGGCAGAGCAGGTGAGTGGTGCGGCAGAGCAGGTGAGTGGTGCAGCAGAGCAGGTGAGTGGTGCGGCAGAGCAGGTGAGTGGTGCGGCAGAGCAGGTGAGTGGAGCAGCAGAGCAGGTGAGTGGTGCAGCAGAGCAGGTGAGTGGTGCAGCAGAGCAGGTGAGTGGTGCGGCAGAGCAGGTGAGTGGTGCGGCAGAGCAGGTGAGTGGTGCAGCAGAGCAGGTGAGTGGTGCGGCAGAGCAGGTGAGTGGTGCGGCAGAGCAGGTGAGTGGTGCAGCAGAGCAGATGAGTGGTGCGGCAGAGCAGGTGAGTGGTGCGGCAGAGCAGGTGAGTGGTGCAGCAGAGCAGGTGAGTGGTGCGGCAGAGCAGGTGAGTGGTGCAGCAGAGCAGGTGAGTGGTGCAGCAGAGCAGGTGAGTGGTGCAGCAGAGCAGGTGAGTGGTGTGGCAGAGCAGGTGAGTGGTGCAGCAGAGCAGGTGAGTGGTGCGGCAGAGCAGGTGAGTGGTGCAGCAGAGCAGGTGAGTGGTGCAGCAGAGCAGGTGAGTGGTGCAGCAGAGCAGGTGAGTGGTGCGGCAGAGCAGGTGAGTGGTGCGGCAGAGCAGGTGAGTGGTGCGGCAGAGCAGGTGAGTGGTGCGGCAGAGCAGGTGAGTGGTGCGGCAGAGCAGGTGAGTGGTGCGGCAGAGCAGGTGAGTGGTGCGGCAGAGCAGGTGAGTGGTGCGGCAGAGCAGGTGAGTGGTGCGGCAGAGCAGGTGAGTGGTGCGGCAGAGCAGGTGAGTGGTGCGGCAGAGCAGGTGAGTGGTGCGGCAGAGCAGGTGAGTGGTGCAGCAGAGCAGGTGAGTGGTGCGGCAGAGCAGGTGAGTGGTGCGGCAGAGCAGGTGAGTGGTGCAGCAGAGCAGGTGAGTGGTGCAGCAGAGCAGGTGAGTGGTGCAGCAGAGCAGGTGAGTGGTGCGGCAGAGCAGGTGAGTGGTGCGGCAGAGCAGGTGAGTGGTGCGGCAGAGCAGGTGAGTGGTGCGGCAGAGCAGGTGAGTGGTGCGGCAGAGCAGGTGAATGGTGCGGCAGAGCAGGTGAGTGGTGCGGCAGAGCAGGTGAGTGGTGTAGCAGAGCTGGTGAGTGGTGCGGCAGAGCAGGTGAGTGGTGCGGCAGAGCAGGTGAGTGGTGCGGCAGAGCAGGTGAGTGGTGCGGCAGAGCAGGTGAGTGGTGCAGCAGAGCAGGTGAGTGGTGCGGCAGAGCAGGTGAGTGGTGCAGCAGAGCAAGTGAGTGGTGCAGCAGAGCAGGTGAGTGGTGCAGCAGAGCAGGTGATTGGTGCAGCAGAGCAGGTGAGTGGTGCGGCAGGGCAGGTGAGTGGTGCAGCAGAGCAGGTGAGTGGTGCAGCAGAGCAGGTGAGTGGTGCGGCAGAGCAGGTGAGTGGTGCGGCAGAGCAGGTGAGTGGTGCAGCAGAGCAGGTGAGTGGTGCAGCAGAGCAGGTGAGTGGTGCAGCAGAGCAGGTGAGTGGTGCAGCAGAGCAGGTGAGTGTTGCGGCAGAGCAGGTGAGTGGTGCGGCAGAGCAGGTGAGTGGTGCAGCAGAGCAGGTGAGTGGTGCGGCAGAGCAGGTGAGTGGTGCGGCAGAGCAGGTGAGTGGTGCAGCAGAGCAGGTGAGTGGTGCGGCAGAGCAGGTGAGCGGTGCGGCAGAGCAGGTGAGTGGTGCGGCAGAGCAGATGAGTGGTGCGGCAGAGCAGGTGAGTGGAGCGGCAGAGCAGGTGAGTGGTGCGGCAGAGCAGGTGAGTGGTGCGGCAGAGCAGGTGAGTGGTGCGGCAGAGCAGGTGAGTGGTGCAGCAGAGCATGTGAGTGGTGCAGCAGAGCAGGTGAGTGGTGCAGCAGAGCAGGTGAGTGGTGCGGCAGAGCAGGTGAGTGGTGCAGCAGAGCAGGTGAGTGGTGCGGCAGAGCAGGTGAGTGGTGCGGCAGAGCAGGTGAGTGGTGCGGCAGAGCAGGTGAGTGGTGCGGCAGAGCAGGTGAGTGGTGCAGCAGAGCAGGTGAGTGGTGCGGCAGAGCAGGTGAGTGGTGCGGCAGAGCAGGTGAGTGGTGCAGCAGAGCAGGTGAGTGGTGCGGCAGAGCAGGTGAGTGGTGCGGCAGAGCAGGTGAGTGGTGCGGCAGAGCAGGTGAGTGGTGCGGCAGAGCAGGTGAGTGGTGCGGCAGAGCAGGTGAGTGGTGCGGCAGAGCAGGTGAGTGGTGCAGCAGAGCAGGTGAGTGGTGCGGCAGAGCAGGTGAGTGGTGCGGCAGAGCAGGTGAGTGGTGCAGCAGAGCAGGTGAGTGGTGCGGCAGAGCAGGTGAGTGGTGCGGCAGAGCAGGTGAGTGGTGCGGCAGAGCAGGTGAGTGGTGCGGCAGAGCAGGTGAGTGGTGCGGCAGAGCAGGTGAGTGGTGCAGCAGAGCAGGTGAGTGGTGCGGCAGAGCAGGTGAGTGGTGCAGCAGAGCAGGTGAGTGGTGCAGCAGAGCAGGTGAGTGGTGCAGCAGAGCAGGTGAGTGGTGTGGCAGAGCAGGTGAGTGGTGCAGCAGAGCAGGTGAGTGGTGCGGCAGAGCAGGTGAGTGGTGCAGCAGAGCAGGTGAGTGGTGCAGCAGAGCAGGTGAGTGGTGCAGCAGAGCAGGTGAGTGGTGCGGCAGAGCAGGTGAGTGGTGCAGCAGAGCAGGTGAGTGGTGCAGCAGAGCAGGTGAGTGGTGCAGCAGAGCAGGTGAGTGGTGCGGCAGAGCAGGTGAGTGGTGCAGCGGAGCAGGTGAGTGGTGCGGCAGAGCAGGTGAGTGGTGCAGCAGAGCAGGTGAGTGGTGCAGCAGAGCAGGTGAGTGGTGCGGCAGAGCAGGTGAGTGGTGCAGCAGAGCAGGTGAGTGGTGCGGCAGAGCAGGTGAGTGGTGCGGCAGAGCAGGTGAGTGGTGCAGCAGAGCAGGTGAGTGGTGCGGCAGAGCAGGTGAGTGGTGCGCAGAGCAGGTGAGTGGTGCAGCAGAGCAGGTGAGTGGTGCAGCAGAGCAGGTGAGTGGTGCGGCAGAGCAGGTGAGTGGTGCAGCAGAGCAGGTGAGTGGTGCGGCAGCGCAGGTGAGTGGTGCGGCAGAGCAGGTGAGTGGTGCGGCAGAGCAGGTGAGTGGTGCGGCAGAGCAGGTGAGTGGTGCGGCAGAGCAGGTGAGTGGTGCGGCAGAGCAGGTGAGTGGTGCGGCAGAGCAGGTGAGTGGTGCGGCAGAGCAGGTGAGTGGTGCGGCAGAGCAGGTGAGTGTGCGGCAGAGCAGGTGAGTGGTGCGGCAGAGCAGGTGAGTGGTGCGGCAGAGCAGGTGAGTGGTGCGGCAGAGCAGGTGAGTGGTGCGGCAGAGCAGGTGAGTGGTGCGGCAGAGCAGGTGAGTGGTGCGGCAGAGCAGGTGAGTGGTGCGGCAGAGCAGGTGAGTGGTGCGGCAGAGCAGGTGAGTGGTGCGGCAGAGCAGGTGAGTGGTGCGGCAGAGCAGGTGAGTGGTGCGGCAGAGCAGGTGAGGGGTGCGGCAGAGCAGGTGAGTGGTGCGGCAGAGCAGGTGAGTGGTGCGGCAGAGCAGGTGAGTGGTGCGGCAGAGCAGGTGAGTGGTGCGGCAGAGCAGGTGAGCGGTGCGGCAGAGCAGGTGAGCGGTGCGGCAGAGCAGGTGAGTGGTGCGGCAGAGCAGGTGAGTGGTGCGGCAGAGCAGGTGAGTGGTGCGGCAGAGCAGGTGAGTGGTGCGGCAGAGCAGGTGAGTGGTGCGGCAGAGCAGGTGAGTGGTGCGGCAGAGCAGGTGAGTGGTGCGGCAGAGCAGGTGAGTGGTGCGGCAGAGCAGGTGAGTGGTGCGGCAGAGCAGGTGAGTGGTGCGGCAGAGCAGGTGAGTGGTGCGGCAGAGCAGGTGAGTGGTGCGGCAGAGCAGGTGAGTGGTGCGGCAGAGCAGGTGAGTGGTGCGGCAGAGCAGGTGAGTGGTGCGGCAGAGCAGGTGAGTGGTGCGGCAGAGCAGGTGAGTGGTGCGGCAGAGCAGGTGAGTGGTGCGGCAGAGCAGGTGAGCAGGTGAGTGGTGCGGCAGAGCAGGTGAGTGGTGCAGCAGAGCAGGGCACGGGGTGTGTGGGTGCTGGACTCGCTGCTGATAGCCTGGTGCTGGTGGTGGGGCGTGACGCCAGTAGCCCTGCTGTAGAGCACATGGGTGAGGTGACAGGGCATGGGGCGTGCCAGTGTGGTGGTCGAGGTATGCCAGTAAAGAAAAATCTCCTACACCAACGAAGCAACACAACGAAGGTGTAGACGACAAGCACGTCCGGAAAAAACCAGTCAAGATGGCTGAGGCTTACAACAAGAAGGGATGTGACGACGAGTATGATATGAAAGAAGAATGCCCCAGAGCAGTAAGAGAACACCTTTAGATAAGATTTGAATGGAAACGGAGCCTTGAGAGGTGGATAAAACAAAAGAACCAGGCAGGTATTGAACCCCGCTAATCGTCTATGATTGAGGTTTGTGCTACTGGTCCCGAGAGGAATACGTTTAGATCCAATATATAGTCATTGTTAAGCGTAGGCACATAAGCTAGAACCCTAACCTGTACGGGCGTCCATCGGCGTCAACCGCTAAGGCCGGCAGCTTTGCCATGAAGGGCAGTGTAGTGGCTAGGGCAGTGCGTATGCAACTAGAGTAGCGCGCTCGCAGCTAAGGCAGCCCGTGGGCAGCAAGGCATGCGAGGCGCAGCAGGTCGGGTGGGGCGCGGGCAGCGCGGGCGTGTGGGCTGCAGGGCAGCGCGGGCAGGGAAGCGCGCGGGCTGCAGGGTAGGGCGGCACACGGGCTGCAGGGCAGGGCGGCGTGCAGGCTGCAGGGCAGGGCCGCGCACAGGCTTCAGGGCAGGGCGGCGCGCGGGCTGCAAGGCAGGGCAGCGTGCAGGCTGCAGGGGAAGGCGGCGCGCGTGCAGAGCAGGGCGCTAGCAGGGCAACGTGCGGGTCGCGCGCTGAGCAGCAAGCGGGCAGCGCGCAGGGCAGGGCAGAGCGCGTGGGGCAAAGCAGGCAGGGCAGCGTGGGGGATGCTGTCCGGGCAGGGCAGGAACGAACGATTAGGGCAGTACGGGCTCTTCGAAGCTAGCGGTGGGCCCTAACGGAGCGGTCCTATGGAGGGACCTGCTCTGAATACTATGTCAGAAATAACGTGTAGGAATGATCGAGTAAGAGCATGCGATGAGTACAATTACTAGGTCTAACCCTTAAGTGTTGTACTCAGTAGAGGCTACCCCATTACAACCTACAGACATACAAACACATGTGACACCTTGGCCTTCCAGCCGACGCGCCTGACTGGCAGTTTTACCACCCAGCCACCTTTAACTAGTCGATCTTCTACTACCGTCTCTACCCCCACCGCAGCTGCCCTGTGCCCTCCTCCGTCTCTTCCTGGTTCCAGGTCCCCCCCAGGTAGACCCCCCCCTCCCCCCTCGTCCTGCTCCTTGAGGTGTGTCTCACGCCACCCCACTCCCCTCGGTTGTGCCTTTGGAGGTCTCCTCAGACTCCTCTGGCCTGGCTTAGGGGGGTGACAATGCCGCTAACGATACATCGGCTTCTCGCTACCTGCCGCGCTTGGAGACACCTTCTGGTTTTCCACCTCAGCCATCTCCGCCCCCCATTTTGCCACCTCCGCTGCAGCCTTTCGCTGTGGAATCCGGGGGCCCTGGTGCTGTTGGGAGTGGAGACTCTGGAGGTGTGGGTTTTGTGGGTGCTGGTTCTGTGGGTGCTGCCTCAAGGGGTCTAAGGGTCCTCGCGTTGGTGGGGTTGAGGGTGTTGCTGCTAGAGGTTCTGGGGGTGCTAATTCTGGAGGTGAATCTAAAATGACAGTTAGAGTGAATATAGAATGAGAGAGGTGAATATATCAGAGAATTATAGCATTTCGAATCAAATTAAGCTACTAACTGTCCTAACTAGCCATGTACCAAAAAAAAAAGAAATGGTTGACCAACCTTGAACATTCAACTCAAAGCCCTTGCAACCCTCATTGCCAATCACACCTGATTGACTAAATTGTGTATATGGCTAAGATAGCAAGTGATGTGAGTTGTGATAGTAGTGTGGGTGGAATAGCGAATATCAAAGATGTGCCTCAAAGTCCTTGTAAAACAAATGAAAACCTAGGCAGGATATAACGGGGACCCTAAATAGGCAGTGACCTCGGAAATCAAAGTTTCACACATGTTGCGCGCGAAGTCTGAAAACGACACGATATAGCTGTTGGTTAGATGGCACAGGTCCAAAACTTTCTGTTTGAAAGTTGGAATTGTTCGACACGCAACGAAACTCAGTAAAGAAAAATCTCCTACACCAACGAAGCAACACAACGAAGGTGTAGACGACAAGCACGTCCGGAAAAAGCCAGTCAAGATGGTTGAGGCTTACAACGAGAAGGGATGCGACGACGAGTATGATATGAAAGAAGAATGCCCCAGAGCAGTAAGAAAACACCTTTAGATAAGATTTGAATGGAAACGGAGCCTTGAGGTGGATAAAACAAAAGGACCAGGCGGGTATTGAACCCGCTGATCAAACATTGATTGGAAGGTTTGTGCTACTGGTCCTGACGGCGATGGTGTTTAGTTGTATGCTATGCGTTGTTGTGCAAATCAGCCATTGAGCGTTTCCCTCGTTTGATCGGTAGCCACGGCCATACAATCGCACATGGGTCGCGGAAAGCGCGAGGCGGAGGGCAATCGGAGCGGTAATGGAGGTCGGGGGAAATCGAAGCGGCACAAGTCGCGATACCTGAACGCTGTGAGCCTTTAAACTTATGTCGCGACGCATTAGTCAACATAAACCGGCAGGCGTGTACCAATGTTTTTCTTGGCTGACAGACGAATAACGACGATAATCAGCGACAATTCTGCAGGCGCGTTCAGTCGCGTTTCGGTTGCGAGTCGCGGCAGCATCCGTTGCGCGTCGCCGCTGCTATGATCTTGGCGGCGTCGCCGCTGTGATCTCCGCGGCGGCGTGCGCTCACCAGCCCGATCCGCCCCACTTCCCGCCCTTCCTCTTCAACCCCTTCCCCCCCTTTCCTTTCGTGCCCTCTCCTCCCGCTCGCGCACACACCTCCGTCTTCCCTCCCCCCTTCTCTTCTCCTCCTCCCATCGTGTGCTCCCACGGCGCCGCCTCTCCCGTCTGGTCCTGAGATCGCCTTGATCACTTAGGTTTACACAGAGCAGAATTTTCCGCTGTCGCCTCTCCCCTCTGGTCCTGATATCGCTTTGAGCACTTGGTTTTACACAGAGCGGATTTTCCCGCCGTCGCCTCTCTCCTCTGGTCCTCACCCGTCCGGCCCGTGTCGCCCGCTGTCCCCCTTCCCCTCCCCCCACCCCTGCTGTCCCCCTTCCCCTCCCCCCACCCCCGCCGTCTCTCTTCCCTCCCACATCCTGGCCCACGAATCTCCGTTGCCATGCAACCAAAACCCGAAACTCTTGGTTGTTGCTCGCTCTCTCCCATGCACCCAAAACCCGAAACCCTTTGTTGTTGCTCGCTCTCTCCCATGCACCCAAAACCCCAACCTCGATCTCCTCTTTCGAAGTGGCGGCGGGCAGCAGCAGGCAGGGAGCGAGAGTGCAGGTGAAGGATCGATTGTTTCTTCCTTTGCTCCTTCACCCTAAACCCTATGATCCAGAATGGGGGGAAGGCGGCGCCCAGAATGTATGGCAGCAAGGGGGCTGGCAGGGGGAGGGATTGGAGGTGGTTTGCAACCGTTTCTTACTTCTGCTCCCCCCCCTTCTGCTCCTCTCCTCCTCTCCCTTCTGTGCCCCCCCCTGCTGTTCCTCCTCACCCTTCTCCCCTCCCCCATTTCTCCTCCTCCCCCTTCTCCTCCTCCCCATTCTTCTCCTCCCCCCTCTGCTCCTCCGTCTTCTGCTCCTCCCCCCTCTGCTCCTTCTGCTCCGCCCCTCCCCCTCGTGCCCCTCCCCCTTCTGCTCCTCCCTCTCGTGCCCCACAGAGCGGGGGGGGAGCGGGCCCCATCGCGAATGGCAACAGGGGGTGGTTGGTGTGGAGTGTGACCAGCAGGGAGAGAGAGTGCGGGCTTGTTGTTGTTGGAGTCGAAACAAAGTAAATTGTTCCTTTGATCCTCCTCCCCTCTTCGGCGCCTCCCTCTCGTGCGCCTCAGAGTGGAGGGGGAGCGGGCCCTATCACGAATGGCAACAGGGGGTGGCTGGTGTCGAGTGTGACCGGCAGGGAGAGAGAGTGCGGGCGGGAGATTGTGAACGTGCTCGATGAGGTGAGGCACGAGCACACAGTGAGGGAGAGGAGGAGGGGGGGGGGGGGGGGGGCTGGTAAGAGGTGGTCAGGAGATCAGCTTGTGAGGTGACATGCACAGGGGATCAGGTGAGGCGGCAAGGAGGTGAGTGGGGCGCACAGGCAAACGATAGAACCTGGAGGGTAGGTAGATAGATGACTGGGCAAGCATTGGGGAAGGTGGCTGTGGAGGGCCTATCTGACTGAACTGTTTTTGCCTTTCTTCCTTCCATCTCCCCTGCTTGCCCCACACGCCGTTGTGCGGCGGCAAGCTGGTGCCCGTGAAGGCGCGGGCTGAGGGGGAGGCAAGCACTGGGGAAGGTGGCTGGGGAGGGCTTATCTGATTGAGCTGATGTTGCTTAATCCCTGTTCGCCCCACACACAGTGGTGTGACAAGCTGGAGGCTGGCAAGGCGCAGGGGGAGGGGGAGGGGGAGGCACGGACTGGGGAAGGTGCATCTGCAGGGAAGGCGAAGGGGGGTTCGTCCATCGATGCGCTGCTGGCGAATGAAGTGGCAGCACTCAAGAAACAGGTGCGTGCGTGTGGAGAGGGGGTTGAGGAAACAGGTGTGTGTGTTTTGCAGCGGCTCACAGGTGCGTGGGATGGGTAGGTGGGTGCCTTTTCCCTCCTTTCCCCTTGTTGTTCCTTCACCCTCCCCTTATCTCCCTCCCACTCCCTCCCCTCGTATCCCTCCCTCTCCCTGTGTCCCCCAGGCTCGATTGCAATCGTGACCTCAGGCTACCAGGTGCCCCTGTTTTGAGACGTCTCAGGCTACCAGGTGCCCCTGTTTTGAGACGTCTCAGGCTACCAGGTGCCCCTGTTTTGTTCCCCTTGTGCATCCTCGCCTCCTTGTTCCCTCCTTTTTCTTCTCCCTCCCTTCCTTGTGCATGCCCCTCAGCCTCGGTTCATGAGTGTGTAGTCTGGGTGCAAGGCGCTGCTGTTCGCATAAATGCCCAGCACAAACACCCATCACTTCCCTCTCTCGCAATCCTCTTTTCCCTCCCTCTTCCTCCCCTTGCCCCTCTTCTTGTCCCTCCCCTTGTCCTGAACGCTCTCACCTGGTGACTTTTGAGTCGACACAAAAGTCACCTGACTGAACGCTCTCACCTGGTCTCACTTCGGGGTGTGGAGTCTCGCTGGCTGCAAGGCGCTGCTGTTTGGACTCTTGCTGGCTGCAAGGCGCCGCTGTTTGCGAGAATGCTAAGTGGAAACCCTTATCGCTCCTCCTCTCTCTCCCATCGTCTTTCTCCCTCCCCTTGCCCCTACCGTTTGCCCTCCCCTCGCCCCTCCTGTTCGCCCGCCCCTTGACATCCCTCAGCCTCGGTTTGTGAGTGTGGAGTCTGGGTGCAAGGCACTGCTGTTTGAGAAAAAACGTTTTTTTTTTTTCCTTTGTCCCTCGTCTTGTCCCTCCCCTTCCCTCTCAGCCTCGGTTTGTGAGTGTGGAGTCTAGGTGCAAGGCGCCGCTGTTTCTGAGGATCCATCATCACCCCTCCCTCTCCCTCTCACTCCCCTTTCTCTGCTCGTCTTTCTCCCTCCCCTTGCCCCTGCTGTTCGCCCTCCCCTCGACATCCCACAGCCTTGGTTCGCGAGTGGGGACTCTGGGTGCAAGGCGCTGCTGTTCGTGAGAATGCTCAGTGCAATTTCCAATCACGTCTCCTCTCCCTCCGCTCGTCTTTCTCCCTCCACTCGTCTTTCTCCCTCCCCTTGCCCCTACCATTCGCCCGCCCCTTGACGTCCCTCAGCCTCGGTTCGTGAGTGTGGAGTCTGGGTGCAAGGCACTGCTGTTCGTGAGGATTAGAGAGGATGCCAGGAAGGGGGGGAAGGGAGAGAAGGGAGGAAAGCAGTTGGAGGAGGGAGAGGAGAAGGAGGAGGAGGGTGAGAAGGAGGAGGTGGGGAAGACGGAGGAAGGGGAAAAGGAGGAGGAGAAGGGTGAAGGAGACAAGGAGGGGAAGGAGGGGGATAAGGCCGGGGAAAAGGAGCAGGAGAAAGAGCAGGAGGAAGAGGTTACAGGAGGAGGAGAGAAGGAACCGGAGAAGGAGGGACAGGGAGGGGAGGGGGAGAAAGGGGAGGCAGGGGGAGAGCAGGGAAGGGTGTCGCCGTGTGAGTTGGCAGAGGCGGTGCTGCGGCATGCCAAGGCCACCCAGCAGTCAGCCACTCGGTGGGTGTGGGGTAGTGGGTGTGGGGCAGTGGGTGTGGGGCAGTGGGTGTGGGGCAGTGGGTGTGGGGCAGTGGGTGTGGGGCAGTGGGTGTGGGGCAGTGGGTGTGGGGCAGTGGGTGTGGGGCAGTGGGTGTGAGGCAGTGGGTGTGGGGCAGTGGGTGTGGGGCAGTGGGTGTGGGGCAGTGGGAGTGAGGCAGTGGGTGTGGGGCAGTGGGTGTGGGGCAGTGGGTGTGGGGCAGTGGGTGTGGGGCAGTGGGTGTGGGGCAGTGGGTGTGAGGAAAGCACGTCTCATCACTTCACCCCCCTGCCCTTGTCACTTCACCCCCCTGCCCTTGTCACTTCACCCCCCTGCCCTTGTCACTTCACCCCCCTGTGCTGGTCACTTATCCTGCCTACCTGTAGTGAACTTGTGCCAGTTTTCTTCTTTCTCCCCCTCTTTGATTCAATTCTCACTCTCCCTTCAGTTTCTGTCACTCATTATCCCCTACGTTTGCACCTGCCCTGCCCACCCCTACATACACCACCCCTTACATACACTGCCCTGGCTCCCACTCTGGTCAACATCTTGACATACGTATTTCAGGAGGAGGGCCCCGGACCACCTGGATCATCTTGATCACATTCCTTGCAACGCTTCTGCTTTGCAGTGCCCAAGATACCCGAGTACTTCACTGTATGGCACTCCTTCTCACACTCTCCTTCTCACACCCTCCTTCTCTCACTCTCCTTCTCACACTCTCCTTCTGTGTGCAAATCAAAACAAGCAGCGCATATCGTCTCTCTCATCCCCCCTTGCTCTCCCTTCTGCTCTCCTCTCCCTTCCCCCCTTACTCCCCTCCCCCTCCTCAGGCGGCAAGGCGACAACATGAGCGTAATCGGAAAGGTGATGGCAGAAAGCTTGCTTGTGATTGGTTAATAAGCAGAAATGGGGTACAAGAGAGGGGAAGAAAACCCCCCTAAAATCCTGAAAAAACCCCCCCACAGCCCCCCCAAGGCCCCCCTAAGGCCCCCCTACCCCCCAATTCTCCTCACAGCCCCTCACAGCCCCCCTCGAACCGCCCTGGAAATCCCTGGGCATGGCCCATGCATATCTGCTCCCTGTCATATCACATTCCTGCTTCTGCTTCTACTTTGTGCTTCCTACTATCTATCATATCCCTCCCGGGCATGGCATGGCATGGCATGGCCAACCAGGGAGGGGCGCACAGCACAGAGAGCCAGGAGCTCATCCACCACTCCCTCTTCTGTTCTGCTTCTGCTCCCCACTCCCCTCCCTTTTCCCTCACCCCTCCCCCCGTTCTCTGCCCGCCTGCATATATAATAACAAGCACATACATTCACATTCGCTAGGTCATCAAATCTATAAGTCATCTATCACTCTACGCGTCGTAGCAAATAGCCTCATGTTGTGGACAGGAGAAAATGGCACATGCGCTCCCTCCTTGTGCGTCTGTTTCTCTCTCTTCTTCTCCCTCATGTCCTGCCCTGCGCATGGCTGAACACAAGCAGGTGGCAACACATCTACTCCCTGTTTCCGTTTCTGCCACTCTTTCATATCCCAAACCTGGCCCAAACCAAACCTGCACTCCCCCCATCCCCCTGCACATATAATAACAGGCTCATACATTTATGTTCCTAACGTAATCAGATTCATCAATCCCTACCACTCTACACATTGCAAGCCAAGTGTCTTCGTCTTGGCGACAGGAGGGAAGCTGGCACCTGCGCAAGGGGAGGGGGGGAGTTGGGGTGGGGGAGAGGGGAAGCGGAGCAAGTGAGCGGGGGGAGCAGGGCAAGTGAGGGGATGGCAGGAGGTGTGAGGGCATGGTGGGATGGCAGGTGTGAGGGATATGGCAAGGTGTGCAGTGCATGCTCTGGGGCGACTCACAACGCACCTGGGGCTGGTTTGGTGGGCCATGCAGCATGGCATGGCGCTGCGCTCCCTCCTCCTGCTTCTGTTTCTCTCCCTTGTTCTCTCTCATGTCCCGCGCATGGATGATGAGGGACGGCCACACAAGCAGCTGGCAACGCATCTGCTCCCTGTGCAAAGTATCTTCATCTTGGCGACAGGAGAAACTGGCACCTGCGCAAGGGCAGGGGAGGAGTTGGGGTGGGGGAGCAGAGCAAGTGAGCGGGGGGAGCAGGGCAAGTGAGCGGGGGGAGCACCCTAAATCCCCTTACCCCCTTACCTGGCAGGAAATGAAAGTCACCATGCAGGGAATGCAATCCACCAGCCAGGGCATGAACAGGCACCATGCAGGGCATGTGAAGGCACCGTGCAACATGCGAAGGCACCTTGCAGGGCATGAGAAGGCACCTGGCAGAAGGGGTAAAGTGGGAAAAGAGGGGAGGGGGTGGGTGAGACAAGCTCAAATGGGCAGGCGCTGCACTGGCAGCTGGCAGAAAGGGGAGGGGAGAGGGTGGCTTGGACGTCTCACAGTTCCCCATGCCCCCTTACACCCCCCCCTTGAGCAAAGAATGCACACAGGAACAACAAACAAGCAAGCAAAACAAACTGAAACAGACAAACAAACAAACAAACAAACAAACAAACAAACAAACAAACAAACAGGAAATATTGGGATGGAAAGAGGGGACGGGGTGAGTGAGACCTCTTCAATCAACATGCGCTACACTGGCACCTGCTGGAAACGGGAGGACAGAGGGGAGGTGTTGAGTGTGACACCTCAAAACATTATGCCTTGCACTGGCACCTGCTGGAAAGGGGAGGAAAATGGCATCATGCAAGGAATGAGAAGGCATCATGCAGGGAACGGCAAGGCACCTTGAGGGAATGAGAAGGCACATGATTTTTATGTGCCCTAGTACATTGTTTTGCTTTTGTGTTCATACATTCATGCATCGTTCTGGTTCGCTCTTACCACGTGGGCGTGCGCGTCAGCCTGCCCCACCCCGTGCTGCACTGTCACGCCCCACTGGCAGCTGCTGAAACACGGGGAGGGAGGGAGGAGAGGGGAGGGGAGGGGAGATGAGGGATTGGTCAAATGACTCAAAACAGAGGGGAGAGAGGAGGGGATTGGTCAAATGACTCAAAACAAAGAGGAGAGAGGAGGGAATTGGTTAAATGACTCAAAAAAAAGAGGAGAGAGGAGGGGATTGGTCAAACGGCTCAAAACAGAGGGGAGAGAAGAGGGGATTGGTCAAATGACTCAAAATAGAGGGGAGAGAGGAGGGGAGCAGGGCAAGTGAGCGGGGGGAGCAGGGCAAGTGAGCGGGGGGAGCACCCTAAACCCCCTTACCCCCTTACCTGGCAGGAAATGAAAGTTACCATGCAGGGAATGCAATCCACCAGCCAGGGCATGAACAGGCACCTGTCAGAGTTATATTATTGTAACTGCATGTAGATATAGCAGTAGTGTAGTTATCACATTCTGTTTGGTGGATTACCCCCTTTCCTATCATATTTGTACCCTTAGCTCTATAGTGAAGTCCTCTTTCATTGCCAACTCTCTCACACTCTACCCCCAACATGGTTCCTAAGGCTACACCCTAGCTACATATCTTGACAGCACCATGCAGGGCATGTGAAGGCACCGTGCAACATGCGAAGGCACCTTGCAGGGCATGAGAAGGCACCTGGCAGAAGGGGTAAAGTGGGAAAAGAGGGGAGGGGGTGGGTGAGACAAGCTCAAATGGGCAGGCGCTGCACTGGCAGCTGGCAGAAAGGGGAGGGGAGAGGGTGGCTTGGACGTCTCACAGTTCCCCATGCCCCCTAACACCCCCCCCTTGAGCAAAGAATGCACACAGGAACAACAAACAAGCAAGCAAAACAAACTGAAACAGACAAACAAACAAACAAACAAACAAACAAACAGGAAATATTGGGATGGAAAGAGGGGACGGGGTGAGTGAGACCTCTTCAATCAACATGCGCTGCACTGGCACCTGCTGGAAACGGGAGGACAGAGGGGAGGTGTTGAGTGTGACACCTCAAAACATTATGCCTTGCACTGGCACCTGCTGGAAAGGGGAGGAAAATGGCATCATGCAAGGAATGAGAAGGCATCATGCAGGGAACGGCAAGGCACCTTGAGGGAATGAGAAGGCACATGATTTTTATGTGCCCTAGTACATTGTTTTGCTTTTGTGTTCATACATTCATGCATCGTTCTGGTTCGCTCTTACCACGTGGGCGTGCGCGTCAGCCTGCCCCATCCCATGCTGCACTGTCACGCCCCGCTGGCAGCTGCTGAAACACGGGGAGGGAGGGAGGAGAGGGGAGGGGAGGGGAGATGAGGGATTGGTCAAATGACTCAAAACCGAGGGGAGAGAGGAGGGGATTGGTCAAATGACTCAAAACAAAGAGGAGAGAGGACGGAATTGGTTAAATGACTCAAAACAAAGAGGAGAGAGGAGGGGATTGGTCGAATGACTCAAAACAGAGGAGAGAGGAGGGGATTGGTCAAAGGACTCAAAACAGAGGGGAGGGAGTAGGGGATTGGTCAAATGACTCAAAACAGAGGGAAGAGAGGAGAGGATTGGTCAAATGGCTCAAAACAAAGAGGAGAGAGGAGGGGATTGGTCAAATGACTCAAAACAAAGGGGAGAGAGGAGGGGATTGGTCAAATGACTCAAAACAAAGAGGAGAGAGGAGGGGATTGGTCAAACGGCTCAAAACAGAGGGGAGAGAAGAGGGGATTGGTCAAATGACTCAAAACAAAGAGGAGAGAGTAGGGGATTGGTCAAATGACTCAAAACAGGGGGAAGAGAGGAGGGGATTGGTCAAATGACTCAAAACAAAGAGGAGAGAGGAGGAGATTGGTCAAATGACTCAAAACAGAGGGGAGAGAGTAGGGGATTGGTCAAATGACTCAAAACAGGGGGAAGAGAGGAAGGGATTGGTCAAATGACTCAAAACCAAGAGGAGAGAGGAGGGGATCGGTCAAATGACTCAAAACAGAGGGGAGAGAGGAGGGGATTGGTCAAATGACTCAAAACAAAGAGGAGAGAGGAGGGGATTGGTCAAATGACTCAAAACAAAGGGGACAGAGGAGGGGATTGGTCAAATGACTCACAACGCACCTGGGGCTGGTTTGGTGGGCCATGCGGCATGGCATGGCGCTGCGCTCCCTCCTCCTGCTTCTGTTTCTCTCCCTTGTTCTCTCTCATGTCCCGCGCATGGATGAACAGGGACGGCCACACAAGCAGCTGGCAACGCATCTGCTCCCTGTGCAAAGTATCTTCATCTTGGCGACAGGAGAAACTGGCACCTGCGCAAGGGGAGGGGAGGAGTTGGGGTGGGGGAGCAGAGCAAGTGAGCGGGGGGAGCAGGGAAAGTGAGCGGGGGGAGCACCCTAAACCCCCTTACCCCCTTACCTGGCAGGAAATGAAAGTCACCATGCAGGGAATGCGAATGCACCTGGCAGGGCATGCCAAGGCACCATGCAGGGCATGAGAATTTACCGGGCAGGGCATGAGAAGGCACCATGCAGGGCATGGGAAGGCACCTGGCAGAAGGGGGGAAGTGGGGAAAGAGGGGAGGGGGTGGGTGAGACATGCTCAAATGGGCAAGCGCTGCACTAGTACCTGGCAGAAAGGGGAGGGGAGAGGGTGGCCTGGATGTCTCAACGTTCCCCAGAGCGCCATGAGCAGCGCCGTCGTTGTCGTTGGCGTGTCAGCGGCATGGCAATCGGCGGCGTGACAGCGGCGTGGCATCGGCGCCCTGAAGCGGAGCTAAACGGAAATCGCCATGTTTGGTGGCAGATTTTGGATGTGGAATGCCGCATTGCTGCTGGCTCCTGGAACGGCAGATGACGAGCTTGTGCTGGCTGAAGCGTGCCTGCCATGACCATGCACACGTCAGCAGGAACAAGGACAAGCAGAAATCGGAACAAACGGAGCTAAGAAGAGGGAATCTACGAAGGAAACGAAATTACTGGAAACAAGACTGAAGATAGCGTGTGTAAAAAAGCGGGCTTACGAAATACTAATGCCATGGCCCATGGCGGATGGCGATCCAAAAGAGAGGCTGCGCTCTTGAGTAGAATGGCTTGAGATTGAAACGAGATCTGGAAAAAAAAAATAGCAAACGAAATCACGAAAAACGAAACTACGATAGCGTGACTGCGACTAAGAAAGCAGGCTTACGAAATGGTGATGCCATGCCCCATGGCGGAGGGCGATCTAGAAGAGAGGCTCGGATGTTGAGTTGAGATAGAGTGGCGGATGATAAGAATCGAGGTCTGAAAAACGGGAGTGGGAGTTAGGTGAGCGATTGTGAGCCCAGCCCACTCACATCACGTTTCGTGCACTTTCTGGCTTGCTTGGTCCCCCTGAACGAACGTGGGTTCGTGGTGCAAAGTGGATGTACTGAAGTAGCGTTCTGCACAGTGCTACGTCGGCAGCGCAGTGACAAAGTCGGAAAGTCGGTTTGGGTGCCCTGCGTATATGTAGTCCGACACTCCGATACAGCGAGCGCGACCCAAAGTGAATGTGCCAGCATTTACAGTGACAAATTCGCAGCGCGAATAGGTTTCGCTTGTCAGCTGTGCCCAAAACGAGAACAGCAAAACAGTATCTTGCAAAACTACAGCTTTCCACATGGCAGTAAACAGAACAGATTTTGCTGATTTACAAGCTACACATGTAAGTTGACAAATATGTTTGTGTAATCTGGAGCTTATGCATGTAGGTCAACAAATCAATGACAAATTAGCTCTGGAATAATGAGCTGAATATTAAGGAACGTGCGCATCTGCATGCGTATATGCATGAATACTCGCATGTCTGGTACCTACCTATTTAACCTAGACGCGCGTAGACATACGTATGCATGCGTACGTATGCCTTCATGCACGTAGTGCGTCTACCTACCGTACACACTCGTACGCGACGCATATGTACATAACCGTACATGCACCAACGCGTACGCACTCGTACGACCGACCTTTTTCTTTGCCCGCGCAAAGAGAGCCGTTGATATCGTCTCGCCGGGGACAATCGCTCTTACTCGACTGATCGTCAAGTGTGACCGATTTTCGCCATTCAGCACCGTGGTTACGCCAACAGATTGATTGGTTGGATGCTGACCGGGACAAGCTTCACTTCCACCATTGGGCTGGGATAGAAAGAGAGAGACACGAAGGGCAGCGAGCGACATAGAGGGAGTGATGGAGGTGCAAGGAAGAGAAAGGGTGTTGAGCCTCAGTTGTTAAGGAGGTTTAGGGGGTGCAGAGATGCCCGAGAGCAGGTGAGTGGTGCAGCAGAGCAGGTGAGTGGTGCAGCAGAGCAGGTGAGTGGTGCAGCAGAGCAGGTGAGTGGTGCAGCAGAGCAGGTGAGTGGTGCAGCAGAGCAGGTGAGTGGTGCAGCAGAGCAGGTGAGTGGTGCAGCAGAGCAGGTGAGTGGTGCAGCAGAGCAGGTGAGTGGTGCGGCAGAGCAGGTGAGTGGTGCGGCAGAGCAGGTGAGTGGTGCAACAGAGCAGGTGAGTGGTGCAACAGAGCAGGTGAGTGGTGCGGCAGAGCAGGTGAGTGGTGCGGCAGAGCAGGTGAGTGGTGCAGCAGAGCAGGTGAGTGGTGCGGCAGAGCAGGTGAGTGGTGCAGCAGAGCAGGTGAGTGGTGCGGCAGAGCAGGTGAGTGGTGCAGCAGAGCAGGTGAGTGGTGCAGCAGAGCAGGTAAGTGGTGCAGCAGAGCAGGTGAGTGGTGCAGCAGAGCAGGTGAGTGGTGCAGCAGAGCAGGTGAGTGGTGCAACAGAGCAGGTGAGTGGTGCAGCAGAGCAGGTGAGTGGTGCAGCAGAGCAGGTGAGTGGTGCAGCAGAGCAGGTGAGTGGTGCAGCAGAGCAGGTGAGTGGTGCGGCAGAGCAGGTGAGTGGTGCAGCAGAGCAGGTGAGTGGTGCGGCAGAGCAGGTGAGTGGTGCGGCAGAGCAGGTGAGTGGTGCGGCAGAGCAGGTGAGTGGTGCGGCAGAGCAGGTGAGTGGTGCGGCAGAGCAGGTGAGTGGTGCGGCAGTGCAGGTGAGTGGTGCGGCAGAGCAGGTGAGTGGTGCAGCAGAGCAGGTGAGTGGTGCGGCAGAGCAGATGAGTGGTGCGGCAGAGCAGGTGAGTGGTGCGGCAGAGCAGGTGAGTGGTGCGGCAGAGCAGGTGAGTGGTGCGGCAGAGCAGGTGAGTGGTGCGGCAGAGCAGGTGAGTGGTGCGGCAGAGCAGGTGAGTGGTGCGGCAGAGCAGGTGAGTGGTGCGGCAGAGCAGGTGAGTGGTGCGGCAGAGCAGGTGAGTGGTGCGGCAGAGCAGGTGAGTGGTGCGGCAGAGCAGGTGAGTGGTGCAGCAGAGCAGGTGAGTGGTGCGGCAGAGCAGGTGAGTGGTGCGGCAGAGCAGGTGAGTGGTGCGGCAGAGCAGGTGAGTGGTGCAGCAGAGCAGGTGAGTGGTGCAGCAGAGCAGGTGAGTGGTGCAGCAGAGCAGGTGAGTGGTGCGGCAGAGCAGGTGAGTGGTGCAGCAGAGCAGGTGAGTGGTGCAGCAGAGCAGGTGAGTGGTGCGGCAGAGCAGGTGAGTGGTGCGGCAGAGCAGGTGAGTGGTGCGGCAGAGCAGGTGAGTGGTGCAGCAGAGCAGGTGAGTGGTGCGGCAGAGCAGGTGAGTGGTGCGGCAGAGCAGGTGAGTGGTGCGGCAGAGCAGGTGAGTGGTGCGGCAGAGCAGGTGAGTGGTGCAGCAGAGCAGGTGAGTGGTGCAGCAGAGCAGGTGAGTGGTGCAGCAGAGCAGGTGAGTGGTGCGGCAGAGCAGGTGAGTGGTGCAGCAGAGCAGGTGAGTGGTGCAGCAGAGCAGGTGAGTGGTGCGGCAGAGCAGGTGAGTGGTGCGGCAGAGCTGGTGAGTGGTGCGGCAGTGCAGGTGAGTGGTGCAGGTGAGTGGTGCAGCAGAGCAGGTGAGTGGTGCGGCAGAGCAGGTGAGTGGTGCAGCAGAGCAGGTGAGTGGTGCGGCAGAGCAGGTGAGTGGTGCGGCAGAGCAGGTGAGTGGTCCGGCAGAGCAGGTGAGTGGTGCGGCAGAGCAGGTGAGTGGTGCGGCAGAGCAGGTGAGTGGTGCGGCAGAGCAGGTGAGTGGTGCGGCAGGGCAGGTGAGTGGTGCGGCAGAGCAGGTGAGTGGTGCGGCAGAGCAGGTGAGTGGTGCGGCAGAGCAGGTGAGTGGTGCGGCAGAGCAGGTGAGTGGTGCGGCAGAGCAGGTGAGTGGTGCGGCAGAGCAGGTGAGTGGTGCGGCAGAGCAGGTGAGTGGTGCGGCAGAGCAGGTGAGTGGTGCGGCAGAGCAGGTGAGTGGTGCGGCAGAGCAGGTGAGTGGTGCGGCAGAGCAGGTGAGTGGTGCGGCAGAGCAGGTGAGTGGTGCGGCAGAGCAGGTGAGTGGTGCGGCAGAGCAGGTGAGTGGTGCGGCAGAGCAGGTGAGTGGTGCGGCAGAGCAGGTGAGTGGTGCGGCAGAGCAGGTGAGTGGTGCGGCAGAGCAGGTGAGTGGTGCGGCAGAGCAGGTGAGTGGTGCGGCAGAGCAGGTGAGTGGTGCGGCAGAGCAGGTGAGTGGTGCGGCAGAGCAGGTGAGTGGTGCGGCAGAGCAGGTGAGTGGTGCGGCAGAGCAGGTGAGTGGTGCGGCAGAGCAGGTGAGTGGTGCGGCAGAGCAGGTGAGTGGTGCGGCAGAGCAGGTGAGTGGTGCGGCAGAGCAGGTGAGTGGTGCGGCAGAGCAGGTGAGTGGTGCGGCAGAGCAGGTGAGTGGTGCGGCAGAGCAGGTGAGTGGTGCGGGGTGCGGCAGAGCAGGTGAGTGGTGCGGCAGAGCAGGTGAGTGGTGCGGGGTGCGGCAGAGCAGGTGAGTGGTGCGGCAGAGCAGGTGAGTGGTGCGGCAGAGCAGGTGAGTGGTGCAGCAGAGCAGGTGAGTGGTGCAGCAGAGCAGGTGAGTGGTGCGGCAGAGCAGGTGAGTGGTGCGGCAGAGCAGGTGAGTGGTGCGGCAGAGCAGGTGAGTGGTGCGGCAGAGCAGGTGAGTGGTGCGGCAGAGCAGGTGAGTGGTGCAGCAGAGCAGGTGAGTGGTGCGGCAGAGCAGGTGAGTGGTGCGGCAGAGCAGGTGAGTGGTGCGGCAGAGCAGGTGAGCGGTGCGGCAGAGCAGGTGGGTGGTGCGGCAGAGCAGGTGAGCGGTGCGGCAGAGCAGGTGAGCGGTGCGGCAGAGCAGGTGAGCGGTGCGGCAGAGCAGGTGAGCGGTGCGGCAGAGCAGGTGAGTGTTTCGGCAGAGCAGGTGAGCGGTGCGGCAGAGCAGGTGAGCGGTGCGGCAGAGCAGGTGAGCGGTGCGGCAGAGCAGGTCAGCGGTGCGGCAGAGCAGGTCAGCAGTGCGGCAGAGCAGGTGAGCGGTGCGGCAGAGCAGGTGAGCGGTGCGGCAGAGCAGGTGAGCGGTGCGGCAGAGCAGGTGAGCGGTGCGGCAGAGCAGGTGAGCGGTGCGGCAGAGCAGGTGAGCGGTGCGGCAGAGCAGGTGAGCGGTGCGGCAGAGCAGGTGAGCGGTGCGGCAGAGCAGGTGAGCGGTGCGGCAGAGCAGGTGAGCGGTGCGGCAGAGCAGGTGAGCGGTGCGGCAGAGCAGGTGAGCGGTGCGGCAGAGCAGGTGAGCGGTGCGGCAGAGCAGGTGAGCGGTGCGGCAGAGCAGGTGAGCGGTGCGGCAGAGCAGGTGAGCGGTGCGGCAGAGCAGGTGAGCGGTGCGGCAGAGCAGGTGAGCGGTGCGGCAGAGCAGGTGAGCGGTGCGGCAGAGCAGGTGAGCGGTGCGGCAGAGCAGGTGAGCGGTGCGGCAGAGCAGGTGAGCGGTGCGGCAGAGCAGGTGAGCGGTGCGGCAGAGCAGGTGAGCGGTGCGGCAGAGCAGGTGAGCGGTGCGGCAGAGCAGGTGAGCGGTGCGGCAGAGCAGGTGAGCGGTGCGGCAGAGCAGGTGAGCGGTGCGGCAGAGCAGGTGAGCGGTGCGGCAGAGCAGGTGAGCGGTGCGGCAGAGCAGGTGAGCGGTGCGGCAGAGCAGGTGAGCGGTGCGGCAGAGCAGGTGAGCGGTGCGGCAGAGCAGGTGAGCGGTGCGGCAGAGCAGGTGAGCGGTGCGGCAGAGCAGGTGAGCGGTGCGGCAGAGCAGGTGAGCGGTGCGGCAGAGCAGGTGAGCGGTGCGGCAGAGCAGGTGAGCGGTGCGGCAGAGCAGGTGAGCGGTGCGGCAGAGCAGGTGAGCGGTGCGGCAGAGCAGGTGAGCGGTGCGGCAGAGCAGGTGAGCGGTGCGGCAGAGCAGGTGAGCGGTGCGGCAGAGCAGGTGAGCGGTGCGGCAGAGCAGGTGAGTGGTGCGGCAGAGCAGGTGAGCGGTGCGGCAGAGCAGGTGAGCGGTGCGGCAGAGCAGGTGAGCGGTGCGGCAGAGCAGGTGAGGGGTGCGGCAGAGCAGGTGAGTGGTGCGGCAGAGCAGGTGAGTGGTGCGGCAGAGCAGGTGAGTGGTGCGGCAGAGCAGGTGAGTGGTGCGGCAGAGCAGGTGAGTGGTGCGGCAGAGCAGGTGAGCGGTGCGGAAGAGCAGGTGAGCGGTGCGGCAGAGCAGGTGAGTGGTGCGGCAGAGCAGGTGAGTGGTGCGGCAGAGCAGGTGAGTGGTGCGGCAGAGCAGGTGAGTGGTGCAGGGTGCGGCAGAGCAGGTGAGTGGTGCGGCAGAGCAGGTGAGTGGTGCAGGGTGCGGCAGAGCAGGTGAGTGGTGCGGCAGAGCAGGTGAGTGGTGCGGCAGAGCAGGTGAGTGGTGCGGCAGAGCAGGTGAGTGGTGCAGCAGAGCAGGTGAGTGGTGCGGCAGAGCAGGTGAGTGGTGCAGCAGAGCAGGTGAGTGGTGCAGCAGAGCAGGTGAGCGGTGCGGCAGAGCAGGTGAGTGGTGCGGCAGAGCAGGTGAGTGGTGCGGGGTGCGGCAGAGCAGGTGAGTGGTGCGGCTGAGCAGGTGAGTGGTGCGGCAGAGCAGGTGAGTGGTGCGGCAGAGCAGGTGAGTGGTGCAGCAGAGCAGGTGAGTGGTGCAGCAGAGCAGGTGAGTGGTGCAGCAGAGCAGGTGAGTGGTGCAGCAGAGCAGGTGAGTGGTGCGGCAGAGCAGGTGAGTGGTGCAGCAGAGCAGGTGAGTGGTGCGGCAGAGCAGGTGAGTGGTGCGGCAGAGCAGGTGAGTGGTGCAGCAGAGCAGGTGAGTGGTGCGACAGAGCAGGTGAGTGGTGCAGCAGAGCAGGTGAGTGGTGCAGCAGAGCAGGTGAGTGGTGCGGCAGAGCAGGTGAGTGGTGCGGCAGAGCAGGTGAGTGGTGCGACAGAGCAGGTGAGTGGTGCGGCAGAGCAGGTGAGTGGTGCAGCAGAGCAGGTGAGTGGTGCGGCAGAGCAGGCAGAGTTGGCATTAGCAACCCGTGGCATTGCAACCTTTCTGACCTGATTGCTCCTCTCCTCCCATTCTTTCTCCCTACAGGCTGTGCTCGCACGAACCTTGCAGCACCGCTCTCCACCTCTGGACGGCACCGAGTCCTCTCCCACTCCCCCCACTCCCAATCGCCTGGAGCTCTGCCTCGTTCAGAGCCGTGATGACATTATAAGCCCGCCTGTTGTGTTACGTGCACAAGCGGTTGAAAGCGGTGTAGATGGTTTAGATGGATTGCAAGATGGTGAAAGTGCCTTGGTGAGCGGTGACAGTGTAGGGGTGCTGCAGGATAAGGGAGTTGATGCTCAGCTGACAACTGAGAGCTGAGTTGAATGTACTGTAAAAAGAGAACGCTCAACTGTTTTTGGCCGGGTGAGGCACTTTCCTGAGCACAATTAACATCATGAAAAGGACCAGGCGGGAATCGAACCCACGAGGTGTTGCACATTTGTGTTTGATAGAGAAGGTTATGCTACTGGTCCTGTGACATAAGCAATTTGTTGTGTTATATCGTATTTGACAACGACGTGATTTATGCTATTTGTTGTGTACTGAGCTCTCTTGTCAAGCATCATGGAGGACGCAGAGCCGCTGCGCGCGCTCTCCGCCCACATCGCGTAAAAACGGACCAGGCGGGTATCGCGATAGTTTCCCTCAGCTTTCCGCTCTATCGCCGCGTTCCTTCCGTCCCTAGTCCCTCCCCGCGCTGCGCGCGCTCTCCGTCCACAGCGCGTGACGCGGACCCTACTTGTCTCCCGGGTCTCTCGGGTGAGAGCCGAGTATCCTAACCGACTAGACTACAACGGATGTCACCAACCTTTGACACAAAAATAATGACCTATGTGTTTTTCTGCAATTCTGCCGCTCACGATGACGTTTTCCCATGCGGTTGTCATGACGTCGTCTCTCTCCGTCGCCCTGCACGGGGGCGGTCGCGTGCTCAGCATTCAGTCACATACCGTCCAGGTATCCGTTGCATGCAGTCGTACACTGCCCAGGTATCCTTCGCATTCTGTCGCAGACCGTGTTGGTCACCGTCGCATTCACCTGCCCTCACGGTCCAGATAGCAAACGATACTGACGTCGTTACTCTACCCCGGCGTAGGCAATGCAAAGCAGCGTTTAAACGTTACGTAGGGTAACCCTACGGTAGCCAAAGCAACCGCCGGTGGCCGAGAGTCCCTCTCAGGTGTCTCTCAGACGCCCCTCTCAAGTGACTCTCAGGTTACCCTCTCAGGTGTCTCTCAGGTGCCCATCTCAGGTGTCCATCTCGGGTGCCCCTTTCAGGTGCCCCACTCAGGTGTTTCTCAGGCGCCCATCTCAGGTGTCTCTCAGGCGCCCCTCTCAGGTATTTTCTCAGGGGGTCCCTCTCAGGCTTCTCTCAGCTGTCCCTTTCAGCTGCCCCTCTCAGGTGTCTCTCAGGTTCCCCTCTCAGGTGCCCATCCCAGGTGTCTCTCCAATGTCTCTCAGGTGCTTGCTTAGTACGACCATGCGAAGTCTGGTATGAAGCTCTGAGTGTCTCGGTCATGCATCAAGTGTATGAAGCATGGGCTCATGCGAACGCGTGTGTGATGGCGTGTGTCTGCATTGAGTGTATGAGTGTATGTATATACATGCATACATATATCTATCTAAATACATATTTATGTTTATACATCTATGTGTTTACACCCTGACACTTCGGTCACATATCTATATTGCTTCGTACACGGTCCATGCGTCAGAACTATGTGGGTGGGCAGCAAGGTGGCCAGGTTCCCCCGGCAGCTGGTGAGTGGTGCGGCAGAGCAGGTGAGTGGTGCGGCAGAGCAGGTGAGTGGTGCAGCAGAGCAGGTGAGAGGTGCAGCAGAGCAGGTGAGTGGTGCAGCAGAGCAGGTGAGTGGTGCGGCAGAGCAGGTGAGTGGTGCGGCAGAGCAGGTGAGTGGTGCAGCAGAGCAGGTGAGTGGTGCAGCAGAGCAGGTGAGTGGTGCGGCAGAGCAGGTGAGTGGTGCGGCAGAGCAGGTGAGTGGTGCGGCAGAGCAGGTGAGTGGTGCGGCAGAGCAGGTGAGTGGTGCAGCAGAGCAGGTGAGTGGTGCGGCAGAGCAGGTGAGTGGTGCAGCAGAGCAGGTGAGTGGTGCGGCAGAGCAGGTGAGTGGTGCAGCAGAGCAGGTGAGGGACAAAGGAAAAACAAAACGTTTTTCCTCAAACAGCAGTGCCTTGCACCCAGACTCCACACTCACAAACCGAGGCTGAGGGATGTCAAGAGGAGGGCGAACAGGAGGGGCGAGGGGAGGGCAAACGGTAGGGGCAAGGGGAGGGAGAAAGACGATGGGAGAGAGAGGAGGAGCGATAAGGGTTTCCACTTAGCATTCTCGCAAACAGCAGCGCCTTGCAGCCAGCGAGAGTCCAAACAGCAGCGCCTTGCAGCCAGCGAGACTCCACACCCCAAAGTGAGACCAGGTGAGAGCGTTCAGTCAGGTGGCTTTTGAGTCGACTCAAAAGTCACCAGGTGAGAGCGTTCAGGACAAGGGGAGGGACAAGACGAGGGGCAAGGGGAGGAAGAGGGAGGGAAAAGAGGATTGCGAGAGAGGGAAGTGATGGGTCTTTGTGCTGGGCATTTATGCGAACAGCAGCGCCTTGCACCCAGACTACACACTCATGAACCGTGGCTGAGGGGCATGCACAAGGAAGGGAGGGAGAAGAGAAAGGAGGGAACAAGGAGGCGAGGATGCACAAGGGGAACAAAACAGGGGCACCTGGTAGCCTGAGGTCACGATTGCAATCGAGCCTGGGGGACACAGGGAGAGGGAGGGATACGAGGGGAGGGAGTGGGAGGGAGATAAGGGGAGGGTGAAGGAACAACAAGGGGAAAGGAGGGAAAAGGCACCCACCTACCCATCCCACGCACCTGTGAGCCGCTGCAAAACACACACACCTGTTTCCTCAACCCCCTCTCCACACGCACGCACCTGTTTCTTGAGTGCTGCCACTTCATTCGCCAGCAGCGCATCGATGGACGAACCCCCCTTCGCCTTCCCTGCAGATGCACCTTCCCCAGTCCGTGCCTCCCCCTCCCCCTCCCCCTGCGCCTTGCCAGCCTCCAGCTTGTCACACCACTGTGTGTGGGGCGAACAGGGATTAAGCAACATCAGCTCAGTCAGATAAGCCCTCCCCAGCCACCTTCCCCAGTGCTTGCCTCCCCCTCAGCCCGCGCCTTCACGGGCACCAGCTTGCCGCCGCACAACGGCGTGTGGGGCAAGCAGGGGAGATGGAAGGAAGAAAGGCAAAAACAGTTCAGTCAGATAGGCCCTCCACAGCCACCTTCCCCAATGCTTGCCCAGTCATCTATCTACCTACCCTCCAGGTTCTATCGTTTGCCTGTGCGCCCCACTCACCTCCTTGCCGCCTCACCTGATCCCCTGTGCATGTCACCTCACAAGCTGATCTCCTGACCACCTCTTACCAGCCCCCCCCCCCCCCCCCCTCCTCCTCTCCCTCACTGTGTGCTCGTGCCTCACCTCATCGAGCACGTTCACAATCTCCCGCCCGCACTCTCTCTCCCTGCCGGTCACACTCGACACCAGCCACCCCCTGTTGCCATTCGTGATAGGGCCCGCTCCCCCTCCACTCTGAGGCGCACGAGAGGGAGGCGCCGAAGAGGGGAGGAGGATCAAAGGAACAATTTACTTTGTTTCGACTCCAACAACAACAAGCCCGCACTCTCTCTCCCTGCTGGTCACACTCCACACCAACCACCCCCTGTTGCCATTCGCGATGGGGCCCGCTCCCCCCCCGCTCTGTGGGGCACGAGAGGGAGGAGCAGAAGGGGGAGGGGCACGAGGGGGAGGGGCGGAGCAGAAGGAGCAGAGGGGGGAGGAGCAGAAGACGGAGGAGCAGAGGGGGGAGGAGAAGAATGGGGAGGAGGAGAAGGGGGAGGAGGAGAAATGGGGGAGGGGAGAAGGGTGAGGAGGAACAGCAGGGGGGGGCACAGAAGGGAGAGGAGGAGAGGAGCAGAAGGGGGGGGAGCAGAAGTAAGAAACGGTTGCAAACCACCTCCAATCCCTCCCCCTGCCAGCCCCCTTGCTGCCATACATTCTGGGCGCCGCCTTCCCCCCATTCTGGATCATAGGGTTTAGGGTGAAGGAGCAAAGGAAGAAACAATCGATCCTTCACCTGCACTCTCGCTCCCTGCCTGCTGCTGCCCGCCGCCACTTCGAAAGAGGAGATCGAGGTTGGGGTTTTGGGTGCATGGGAGAGAGCGAGCAACAACAAAGGGTTTCGGGTTTTGGGTGCATGGGAGAGAGCGAGCAACAACCAAGAGTTTCTGGTTTTGGTTGCATGGCAACGGAGATTCGTGGGCCAGGATGTGGGAGGGAAGAGAGACGGCGGGGGTGGGGGGAGGGGAAGGGGGACAGCAGGGGTGGGGGGAGGGGAAGGGGGACAGCGGGCGACACGGGCCGGACGGGTGAGGACCAGAGGAGAGAGGCGACGGCGGGAAAATCCGCTCTGTGTAAAACCAAGTGTTCAAAGCGATATCAGGACCAGAGGGGAGAGGCGACAGCGGAAAATTCTGCTCTGTGTAAACCTAAGTGATCAAGGTGATCTCAGGACCAGACGGGAGAGGCGGCGCCGTGGGAGCACACGATGGGAGGAGGAGAAGAGAAGGGGGGAGGGAAGACGGAGGTGTGTGCGCGAGCGGGAGGAGAGGGCACGAAAGGAAAGGGGGGGAAGGGGTTGAAGAGGAAGGGCGGGAAGTGGGGCGGATCGGGCTGGTGAGCGCACGCCGCCGCGGAGATCACAGCGGCGACGCCGCCAAGATCATAGCAGCGGCGACGCGCAACGGATGCTGCCGCGACTCGCGACCGAAACGCGACTGAACGCGCCTGCAGAATTGTCGCTGATTATCGTCGTTATTCGTCTGTCAGCCAAGAAAAACATTGGTACACGCCTGCCGGTTTATGTTGACTAATGCGTCGCGACATAAGGTTAAAGGCTCACAGCGTTCAGGTATCGCGACTTGTGCCGCTTCGATTTCCCCCGACCTCCATTACCGCTCCGATTGCCCTCCGCCTCGCGCTTTCCGCGACCCATGTGCGATTGTATGGCCGTGGCTACCGATCAAACGAGGGAAACGCTCAATGGCTGATTTGCACAACAACGCATAGCATACAACTAAACACCATCGCCGTCAGGACCAGTAGCACAAACCTTCCAATCAATGTTTGATCAGCGGGTTCAATACCCGCCTGGTCCTTTTGTTTTATCCACCTCAAGGCTCCGTTTCCATTCAAATCTTATCTAAAGGTGTTTTCTTACTGCTCTGGGGCATTCTTCTTTCATATCATACTCGTCGTCGCATCCCTTCTCGTTGTAAGCCTCAACCATCTTGACTGGCTTTTTCCGGACGTGCTTGTCGTCTACACCTTCGTTGTGTTGCTTCGTTGGTGTAGGAGATTTTTCTTTACTGAGTTTCGTTGCGTGTCGAACAATTCCAACTTTCAAACAGAAAGTTTTGGACCTGTGCCATCTAACCAACAGCTATATCGTGTCGTTTTCAGACTTCGCGCGCAACATGTGTGAAACTTTGATTTCCGAGGTCACTGCCTATTTAGGGTCCCCGTTATATCCTGCCTACGTTTTCATTTGTTTTACAAGGACTTTGAGGCACATCTTTGATATTCGCTATTCTACCCACACTACTATCACAACTCACATCACTTGCTATCTTAGCCATATACACAATTTAGTCAATCAGGTGTGATTGGCAATGAGGGTTGCAAGGGCTTTGAGTTGAATGTTCAAGGTTGGTCAACCATTTCCTTTTTTTTTTGGTACATGGCTAGTTAGGACAGTTAGTAGCTTAATTTGATTCGAAATGCTATAATTCTCTGATATATTCACCTCTCTCATTCTATATTCACTCTAACTGTCATTTTAGATTCACCTCCAGAATTAGCACCCCCAGAACCTCTAGCAGCAACACCCTCAACCCCACCAACGCGAGGACCCTTAGACCCCTTGAGGCAGCACCCACAGAACCAGCACCCACAAAACCCACACCTCCAGAGTCTCCACTCCCAACAGCACCAGGGCCCCCGGATTCCACAGCGAAAGGCTGCAGCGGAGGTGGCGAAATGGGGGGCGGAGATGGCTGAGGTGGAAAACCAGAAGGTGTCTCCAAGCGCGGCAGGTAGCGAGAAGCCGCTGTATCGTTAGCGGCATTGTCACCCCCCTAAGCCAGGCCAGAGGAGTCTGAGGAGACCTCCAAAGGCACAACCGAGGGGAGTGGGGTGGCGTGAGACACACCTCAAGGAGCAGGACGAGGGGGGAGGGGGGGGTCTACCTGGGGGGGACCTGGAACCAGGAAGAGACGGAGGAGGGCACAGGGCAGCTGCGGTGGGGGTAGAGACGGTAGTAGAAGATCGACTAGTTAAAGGTGGCTGGGTGGTAAAACTGCCAGTCACGCGCGTCGGCTGGAAGGCCAAGGTGTCACATGTGTTTGTATGTCTGTAGGTTGTAATGGGGTAGCCTCTACTGAGTACAACACTTAAGGGTTAGATCTAGTAATTGTACTCATCGCATGCTCTTACTCGATCATTCCTACACGTTATTTCTGACATAGTATTCAGAGCAGGTCCCTCCATAGGACCGCTCCGTTAGGGCCCACCGCTAGCTTCGAAGAGCCCGTACTGCCCTAATCGTTCGTTCCTGCCCTGCCCGGACAGCATCCCCCACGCTGCCCTGCCTGCTTTGCCCCACGCGCTCTGCCCTACCCTGCGCGCTGCCCGCTTGCTGCTCAGCGCGCGACCCGCACGTTGCCCTGCTAGCGCCCTGCTCTGCACGCGCGCCGCCTTGCCCTGCAGCCTGCACGCTGCCCTGCCTTGCAGCCCGCGCGCCGCCCTGCCCTGAAGCCTGTGCGCGGCCCTGCCCTGCAGCCTGCACGCCGCCCTGCCCTGCAGCCCGTGTGCCGCCCTACCCTGCAGCCCGCGCGCTTCCCTGCCCGCGCTGCCCTGCAGCCCACACGCCTGCGCTGCCCGCGCCCCACCCGACCTGCTGCGCCTCGCATGCCTTGCTGCCCGCGGGCTGCCTTAGCTGCGAGCGCGCTACTCTAGTTGCATACGCACTGCCCTAGCCACTACACTGCCCTTCATGGCAAAGCTGCCGGCCTTAGCGGTTGACGCCAATGGACGCCCGTACAGGTTAGGGTTCTAGCTTATGTGCCTACGCTTGCATCTCCGACGTTACATTAGAGATGGCCTCTCCCTACTCGAGTACACGTCGGGGTCACTTCCGGCCTCTCCGACTCCTACGGAGCCTCCTGATGACGCTGGCGAGGACATGCAGAGGCGGTACCTGGCGGGCACTGTTGCCTACAGAAAGTGGACGGAGCGAGATGCTATCGCATAGCGTGCCGTTCGAGCTCTCCTGCCAGTCGACCAGAGGGACCACTTTCGACAGTCCTGCCACTCTGGTCAACACCTTGACATACGTATTTCAGGAGGAGGGCCCCGAACCACCTGGATCATCTGGATCACATTCCTTGCAACGCTTCTGCTTTGCAGCGCCCAAGATATCCGAGTACTTCACTGTATGGCACTCCTTCTCACACTCTCCTTCTCACACCCTCCTTCTCTCACTCTCCTTCTCACACTCTCCTTCACTGTGCAAATCAAAACAAGCAGCGCATATCCTCTCTCTCATTCCCCCTTGCTCTCCCTTCTGCCCTCCTCTCCCTTCCCCCCTTACTCCCCTCCCCCTCCCTCAGGCGGAAAGGCGACAACATGAGCGTAATCGGAAGGGTGATGGCAGAAAACTTGTTTGTGATTGATTAATAAGCAGAGATGGGGTACAAGAGAGGGGAAAACCCCCATAAAATCCTGAAAAAACCCCTCCACAGCCCCCCCAAGGCCCCCCTAAGGCCCCCCTACCCCCTAATTCTCCTCACAGCCCCTCACAGCCCCCCTCGAACCACCCTAGAAATCCCTGGGCATGGCCCATGCATATCTGCTCCCTGTCATATCACATTCCTGCTCCTGCTTCTACTTTGTGCTTCCTATCTATCATATCCCTCCCGGGAATGGTATGGCATGGCATGGTATGGCATGGCATGGCATGGCATGACATGACATGGCCAACCAGGGAGGGGCGCACAGCACAGAGAGCCAGGAGCTCATCCACCACTCCCTCTTCTGTTCTGCTTCTGCTCCCCACTCCCCTCCCTTTTCCCTCACCCCTCCCCGCTTTCTCTGCCCGCCTGCGTATATAATAACAAGCACATATTCGCTAGGTCATCAAATCTATAAGTCATCTATCACTCTACGCGTCGTAGCAAATAGCCTCATGTTGTCGACAGGAGAAAATGGCATATGCGCTCCCTCCTTATGAGTCTGTTTCTCTCTCTTCTTCTCCCTCATGTCCTGCCCTGCGCATGGCTGAACACAAGCAGGTGGCAACACATCTACTCCCTGTTTCCGTTTCTGCCAATCTTTCATATCCCAAACCTGGCCCAAACCAAACCTGCACTCCCCCCCCCCCCCCCTCCCACTGCATGTATAACAACAGGCACATACATTTATGTTCTTAACGTGATCAGATTCATCCCTCCTACCACTCTGCACATCGCAAGCCAAGTGTCTTCATCTTGGCGACAGGAGAAGCTGGCACCTGCGCAAGGGGAGGGGGGGAGTTGGGGTGGGGGAGAGGGGGAGCGGAGCAAGTGAGCGGGGGGAGCAGACCAAGTGAGGGGATGGCAGGAGGTGTGAGGGCATGGTGGGATGGCAGGTGTGAGGGATATGGCAAGGTGTGCAGTGCATGCTCTGAGGCGACTCACAACGCACATGCGGCTGGTTTGGTGGGGCATGCAGCATGGCATGGCGCTGCGCTCCCTCCTGCTTCTGTTTCTCTCCCTTGTCCTCTCTCATGTCCCGCGCATGGATGATCAGGGACGGGCACACAAGCAGCTGGCAACGCATCTGCTCCCTGTGCAAAGTATCTTCATCTTGGCGACAGGAGAAACTGGCACCTGCACAAGGGCAGGGGAGGAGTTGGGGTGGGGGAGCAGAGCAAGTGAGCGGGGGGGGCAGGGCAAGTGAGCGGGGGGAGCACCCTAAACCCCCTTACCCCCTTACCTGGCAGGAAATGAGAAGGCACCATGCAGGGAATGCGAATGCACCTGGCAGGGCATGCCAAGGCACCATGCAGGGCATGAGAATTTACCGGGCAGGGCATGAGAAGGCACCATGCAGGGCATGGGAAGGCACCTGGCAGAAGGGGGGAAGTGGGGAAAGAGGGGAGGGGGTGGGTGAGACATGCTCAAATAGGCAAGCGCTGCACTGGTACCTGGCAGAAAGGGGAGGGGAGAGGGTGGCCTGGATGTCTCAACATTCCCCATGCCCCCTTACTGCCCCTTAAGCAAAGAATGCACACATGAACATGAACAAGCAAGCAATCAAACTAAAACAAACAAACTGGAAATATGGGGAGGAAGGAGAGGAGGGGATGAGTGACACATCTCAAAATATTATGCCCTGCACTGCCACCTGCTGGAAAGGGGAGGACAGATGGGAGGGGGTGAGTGAGACACCTCGGAACATTATGCCCTGCACTCGCACCTGCTGGAAAGGGGAGGAAAGAGAAGAGGGGATGAGTGACACACCTTAAATCAACATGCGCAGCACTGGCACCTGCTGGAAAGGGGAGGAAAGAGAAGAGAGGGTGAGTGACACACTGCAAATCAACATGCGCAGCAATGGCACCTACTGGAAAGGGGAGGACAGAGAGGAGGAGGTGTGTGACACACCGCAAAACATGCGCAGCACTGGTACCTGCTGGAAAGGGGAGGACAGAGAGGAGTAGGTGTGTGACACACTGCAAAACAACATGCACAGCACTGGCACCTGCTGGAAAGGGGATGACAGAGGGGAGGGGGTGAGTGAAACACCTCACAAAATTATGCCCTGCACCCCCACTCCGTGCTGCACCATCCGTCACACCACGCGCTGCTCTGGCAGCTGCTGAAACAGGGGGAGGGAGGGAAGGGGAGGGGAGTTGAGGGGGTGGGTAACATGACTAAAAACAAAGGAGAGAGAGGAGGGGATGGGTCACATGACTCAAAACAGAGGGGAGAGACAAGGGGATGGGTAACATGTCTCAAGAGGGGTTGAGGGTATCATATGAATGATACTATGTTTAGTTCTTGTATGTTCTTGTTTCTGTTCTTAGTTCTTGTTTTGGTTGTTTCTTGAGCCGTTGTTTCCGTTCTTCTCTCACCATGGGGCGGCGAGGCGAGGAGGCGAGGTGCTCGACAGCGGCGCGTGGAGGGCTGAGCCGCCCCCGTGGAAGGCTGAGCTGCCCGCGTGGAGGGCTGAGCCGCCCACGTGGAGGGCTGAGCCGCCCGCGTGGAGGGCTGAGCTGCCCGCGTGGAGGGCTGAGCTGCCCGTGTGGAGGGCTGAGCCGGCGTCCATGGGGTGGCCGACCCACCCCATGCGCCATCAACACCACGTGCTGCAGTGGCTCATGCTGGAAGGGGTAGCCTGGTTGTAGGGTTTCGGGTTCAGAGTAAGAGGAGGGGGGAGAGAGAATGGGCAGGGTAAGTTCGGTGGGGAAATGAATGGGGCACGTAATAATAATATGGGAAAACAGAATTTGATGTTTCTTTCCTTTCAATTGAAAAACTCCACTCCTTTCATTGTCTCAAGGCACCTAGCAGGGGATGACGAAGCATCAGGCAGGATATAAGTGGTTTGGGGAAAGGGCGAATTGTTTTCCCAATAATATCAATATTGGATCTTATTGTTTTTTATATACATGCTTCTTTGTTTTTGTCATGCTCTCATGTTTCAGTTGTGTTTAGTCTTTTTCTTGTACCTGGAGACACGTTGTGATTTGAGCGCCTGGAGGCGCATGGAGGCTGCACTGGCACCGGCTCTGCTATCCGCCAGAGCCGCGCCATGCGCCTCTGCTGTCCGCCAGGGCCGCGCCACGCGCACCCAGAGCGCCATGAGCAGTGCCGTTGTTGTCGTTGGCGTGTCAGCGGCATGGCAATCGGCGTGACAGCGGCGTGGCATCGGCGCCCCAAAGCGGAGCTAAACGGAATTCGCCATGTTTGGTGGCAGATTTTGGATGTGGAATGCCGCATTGCTGCTGGCTCCTGGAACGGCAGATGACGAGCTTGTGCTGGCTGAAGCGTGCCTGCCATGACCATGCACACGTCAGCAGGAACAAGGACAAGCAGAAATCGGAACAAACGGAGCTAAGAAGAGGGAATCTACGAAGAAAACGAAATTACGGGAAACAAGACTGAAGATAGCGTGAGTAAGAAAGCGGGCTTACGAAATACTAATGCCATGGCCCATGGCGGACGGCAATCCAAAAGAGAGGCTGCGCTCTTGAGTAGAATGGCTTGAGATTGAAACGAGATTTGAAAAAAAAAAAAAAAAAAAAAAAGCAAATGAAATCACGAAAAATGAAACTACGATAGCGTGACTCCAACTAAGAAAGCAGGCTTACGAAATGGTGATGCCATGCCCCATGGCGGAGGGCGATCTAGAAGAGAGGCTCGGATGTTGAGTTGAGATAGAGTGGCGGATGATAAGAATCGAGGCCTGAAAAACGGGAGTGGGAGTTAGGTGAGCGATTGTGAGCCCAGCCCACTCACATGGCATTTCGTGTGCTTTCTGGCCTGCTTGGTCCCCTTGAACGAATGTGGGTGCCTTGGCCCTTGCTCGCGTGGGGAGGAGAAACCTAAACCAGCCCGAATCTGAAGGGGCAGCAAAAACAGTTCAAACAACTCACAGAATACTCCTCCTATGGCGAGTGAATGCCACAAATGCATGCAAAAACGAGATTGCGGGCAGGGGGGAGTTGCACCTTCAACAAAAACGAAGTGGGCAGTAGGGGGGTATGTTGTCAGAACATATCTATAGCTTATACTATTGTGTAGGCTGTAGTGGGGTATCCCATAGGGGGTACAACCCAGTTAGGGTTTCATATTTGTACTGCCTTCATTCATAGTTCACACATTCTTGTTCATTCAGTTTCTCATGGTATAGAGCGGGTCCCTCTTAAGGACCGTTTTTTTTTTGGCCCACCCACGATTTTTTTTTTCTGCCCGGAGCGCGCCCTATTCTCCCCGAGGCGCGCTCCCCCCTTAGTGCGTGTCGCGCTGCCCTTGTGGCGCCCCGAGAGTCGCGCGCGCGACTCCTTTTTTTTCGCGCGCGCGGCCCGGGCCCCACGTCGCGCAGGCCTTACGGCCGCGCCGCACCGCCCTCTCGGCTCTGCCGCGCCGCGCCGCCCTCACGTCGGCCGCGCGGCCTCCTCGTCGCTGCAGCCGGCCCCGCCGCTGCACCTCTGTCGGCCCCGCCGCTGCACCCTACCGGCCTCGCCGCCGCATCTGCCGGCCCGGCCGCCTCACCTAACGGCCTCGCCGCCGTGCCTGCCGGCCCGCCGCCTCACCTGACGGCCCGCTGCCTCACCTGACGGCCCGCCGCCTCACCTGCCGGCCCGCCGCATCACCTGACGGCCCGCCGCCTCGCCTGCTGGCCCACCACCTCACCTGACGGCCCCGCCGCCTCACCTGGCGGCCCGCCGCCTCACCTACTGGCCCGCCACCTCACCTGACGGCCCCGCCGCCTCACCTGACGGCCCGCCGCCTCGCCTGCTGGCCCGCCACCTCACCTGACGGCCCCGCCGCCTCACCTGACGGCCCGCCGCTGCACCTGCCGGCCCCGCCGCTGCACCTGCCTGCCCGCCCCTGCACCCGGCGGCCCGCCGCTTCGCCTGACGGCCCCGCCACTGCACTTGCCGGCCCGCCGCTGCGCCTGACGGCCCCGCAGCTGCATCTCCCAGCAGCCGAGCCGCCCCAGCAGCCGAGCCGCCCCAGCAGCCGAGCCGCCCGAGCCGCCCGAGCCGCCCCAGCAGCCGAGCCGCCCCAGCAGCCGAGCCGCCCGAGCCGCCCGAGCCGCCCCAGCAGCCCGAGCCGCCCGAGCCACCTGAGGAGCCGTGCTGCTGTTCCTGCGCTGTGTTCCTCTGCTGCTGACCTACCCGACTCTCCTAGCCCGGTGAGACTTTCAGCTGCTGCCATGGCCACCCCCAATGTTCTTACTTTTGACGCTGAGGGGAGGGCCATTGACTTTGCCGTCTGGATTGAAGACCTGCAGCTGTACTTACTGTGTGATGCGATAGATGAGGTCTCTCTCTTTGACTTTGTCTCTGGTGCTGTCCCTGCCCCGCCTGCTGATGCTGACTCTGCTGCTCGCTCCAAGTGGGCGACCCGCGATGCTGCTGCACGTCTTGCTGTGCGTCGCCACCTCCCTTCCTCTGAGCGTGCCCACTTTAGTCAGTGCAAGACCGCTCAGGCCTTGTACGACGCTGTAGTTGCACGCTACTCCTCCCCTTCCTCCGCTACCCTTAGCCGCCTCATGCTACCGTTTCTCTTCCCTGACCTCGCTTCCTTTCCCACTGTTGCTGACCTCGTTACCCACCTCCGCGCTAGTGACACCCGCTACCGTGCTGCCCTTCCTGCTGAGTTCCGCGCTGCGAACCCTCCTCCCATGTACATCACTCTCTACTTTCTCGTCACCCGTCTCCCTGAGTCCCTTCGTGTCGTTAGGGACCAGTTTCTCTCTGTCTGTCCCACCACTCTCACTGTCGACCTCCTTGAGGAGTCCCTGCTAGCGGCTGAGAAGAGTATTGTCGCTGTAGGGGCCTCTCGGGGTGACCCTCGCACCCCCATCTTTGAGGGGTGTGGTCCTTCCCCCCTGCTGCCCTCTGTCGCCTCTGCCGCTGCGGCCGACCTCGCTGGTTTTGAGTCGGTCGGCGCGGCGTCTGCCCCCAGCGGCAGACGCCGCTCTGGCAAGGGCAAGGGGGGCAAGGGAGCGGGTGGAGCTAGAGGGGGCGGTGGAGGAGGCGGTGGGGGTGGAGGGGGGAGTGGGGGTGGCGGTGGGGGTGGTGGCGGGAGTGGAGGTACTAGTGGCGGCGGTGGAGGCGGAGGTGGCGGCGGAGGTGGTAGCGGAGGAGGCGGTGGGAGCGGTGGGAGCGAGGGTCCTGGTGGGGGAGGTGGCGGTGGAGACGGGGGTGGCGGTGGAGGCGGGGGTGGCGGTGGAGGCGGGGGTCGGAGTGGCTCGTCCCAGCGGAGCAGCTCTGGGGGTGGTCAGCGCCAGCAGCAGCAGCAGCAGCAGCAGCAGCAGCAGCAGCAGCAGCAGCCGCAGCAGCAGCAGCGCTCTCGCACCGTCCCCGGCCCTCAGCAGCTCCGTGAGTGGTACTTGCAGCGTCAGCGCGGTGGTGCGCTTGGTCCCTGCCCCTACGTTCTTCGCACTGGTGACCGTGCAGGGGAGAGGTGTGGAGGCGCCCACACAGCCCGTCGCTGCTTTGGCCGCCTGACCGACGCCTGGCGTCAGCAGTTTCCGGAGGCCGCTGAGATCCCCCGCTGGGGAGAGCTGTCTAGGGCTGGTGTAGCTATTTATGATCTTGACTTTGATGCTATTCTCTCTGCTATGTATGCTGTGACTGGTAGTGATGAGGATGACTGTTACCGGTGTTTCCCGCCCGACCCGGGCATTGGTACTGCCGCGTCAGGTACTAGTGAGGCTGCTGCTCTAGGTGCCAGTGCGTCTGTGCTCTCAGGTACTGGTGAGTCCGCCCTCTCAGGTACTGTGTCGGCTTCGGCCTCTCACACCTTCACCCTTGACTCTGGAGCGTCTCGCTCCTTCTTTAGGGACCGCACCACTCTCACACCGCTGAGTCGGCCTGTTGCGGTGTCCGTGGCTGACCCCTCTGGGGGGCCTGTCCTGTCTCGCTTCTCCACTGTCCTCCCGTGTCCGGCGGCCCCCTCTGGCACCCTGACTGGTCTCTACCTCCCCTCGTTCTCGACGAACTTGGTGAGTGGTGCTGACCTTCAGGATGCGGGTGTCCACCAGTTCACCCCTGCTCGTCAGCGGGTGACCCACTGCACGGAGGCGGATACAGGTCGCCACCTGGCTACGTTTACACGTCGGCCAGGGTCGAGCCTGTACACACTGACCACTGCTTCTCCTCCAGGTACTTCGTCTGGTAGGGTCCCTTCGTCTGGTCAGGTGTTTGCTGCAGCGTCCAGGTCTGGTCCTGAGTCTGCCCCCTGTTCGTGTCGTCGTCTGTCTCACGAGACCCTCCTCTGGCACCACCGCCTTGGCCACCCCTCTCTGCTTCGGCTCAGAGGCATGGACTCGCGAGTCCTTGTGTCTGGTCTTCCCCGGTCCCTCCCTCCCCTCCCTCCGGGCCCTGGCCCTGCCTGTGTCCCCTGTGTCGAGGGGCGCCAGCGTGCTGCCCCTCACTCCTCCCAGTTTCCTCCGACAGAGGCCCCGTTGCAGACGCTTCACATGGACGTGTGGGGCCCAGCCCGCGTCCGTGGCCAGGGTCAGGAGCGCTACTTCCTGCTGGTGGTTGACGACTACTCGCGTTACACCACAGTCTTCCCCTTGCGCAGCAAGGGTGAGGTCACTGAGGTGTTGATCGACTGGATCCGCGCAGCTCGTCTCCAGCTTCGGAGGAGCTTTGGCTCTGACTTCCCTGTTTTGCGTCTGCACTCGGTGTTGGTGTTAGGCCCCAATCTCACATTTTGTACTTGTACTTTTATATCCTAGTTTAGTGTAGTTTGCACTTTGTGTTTGGTTGGGTGTACACCCACATCCCAACCAAACCCAAATGTAATCTCCAAGCAATCTCCAACCCACCAATTGGAGATTGCCTTGGGATTACCCTTGATTCCCTAGGATTGCCTCCTGATTCCCTCCTCATCCCTACCTTGCTCATTTCGGATGTACTTAAAGAGCTTTGAGCTCACTACTATAGTATCGATTCTAAGCTCAAGTTCTGACATGGTATCAGAGCAGCTCAACCGCATACGCGGATCGTGATCCTCTCATCTCTGCGGATACTTGTCCCGCAAACCTCGGGGAAGCCATCGCCAATCTCGTCGCCGTTGATTCGCGACATTCATCGGCGGAATTTCTCCCGCCAAATCTTCCCGTCACCATCGACGGAAACTTCTCTGGTAAGCGCATCGTCGGCGCTCTAACCTAACACTCGTTTTCATCAATTCGTCACTTCTTCTCCTCGACGGGCTGCCGCCCGTCGCCCTGCAGCTTCTCGTCGGGCCGCCGCCCGTCGCCCCCGCAGCGTCATCTTCGGGCTGCCGCCCGTCGCCCCGCATCTGCACTCCTACCCCCATCCCCCCTCTTTCCCGCAGCTGAACAGGTGCAGCAACGCAGCCGAGCAGCAGCGTAGCCGCGAAGCTGAGGGTGGTGTGTGGGGGGGTGTGTGGGAATAGGACTAGTAGGTAGTTGACACTAAATTGGCGTCTCAGTCAAATTCTCCTTCGTAAACCCTAAACCTCCGGTTCTTCAAAATCTCCTTTGGAAACCCCAAACCTCAAGTTCCTATTGGTGACTTAAGAGCGGCGCTCCGCGCGAGAAGTTAAGGGGTCTCCACCATGGCTTTCTCGTCTTCCACCATGGCGAACCCCATCACCCCGCTCCGCCTTGAAGCCGATGGCTCTAGCTCCAACTTCAAGGCGTGGAGCTACGGAGTTGACAAGCACCTCCTGAGCCGTGACGTGCAGGGCCTTGACCTCAAGGACGTCCTCCTCAACCGTGGCAAGGGGAAACAGCCCACTCTTCCCCGTGAACCGACCGAATCTTCAAGTGATGCTGACGTGATGACGTACGAAGAAGCTGTTGAGAAGTACCGGAAGTGGGAGAAGGCCGATGCTGCCATCATCAGCGTCTTCATTGCCTCCACCCCTCCCGAACTTGTCAACACGTTCCACAACTACCCTACCTCCAACGCCATCTGGAAGTATCTCCAGGATCGGTTCATGAACAAGACGGCGGTCGGAGTGGCGATTCTCATCCCCAGCATGTTTCAAGTCCGCCTTGAGGACTGCTCAGGAATGGCTGATTACATCGCCAAGGTGCAGACCATTCATGGTGAACTCAAGGAGCTGGGTATAGTCTTCCCCGAACAAGCCCCTGCAGCCGCCCTTCTTGTTGGTCTCTCCTCGGCATATGAAGTGACGAGGAAGATGCTCCTCACGCTCTCAGCGGAAGACCTCACCTTTGCTAAGGTCTCCACCGCACTCCTCTCTGCCGAGAAAGACTCCACTGCTCAGGCCAAGGCATACGCCATCCGTGCTCCCATGCCCCTAGCAAGTGTTGCAGCAGCCCTTGCCTCGGCGCCTTTCCAGCGCAACCGCTTTCCTCCGTGCACCTACGTCGTCAAGTATGGCAACCGCAAGGGACAAGTGTGTGGTGGCACTAACCACCCCCTTGCCACGTGCTTCAAGAAGAAAGACGACGAGTGGTATGCCATCCACGGGGTTGACAAGAAGCCGCCAAACTGGATGCGCGCTCGTAAGGCCAATCTCGTTGAGGTCCAGGACCCCTCTTCGGCTAGTGCTAGTGACAGTGCTCCTGTTGATGTGCGTATCAACCTGTTGTTTCCTGGCACTGCCATGATTAATGAAGCCACTTCCCAGTACATCGACTCATCACAGGCACCACAGTACATAGAGTTCACACTCGACAGTGGGGCCACTCACACTGTGCTCAAGGAGACACTCTCCTTCAAACCCTATCCAGCACCTATCCCTCTCTTGGGAGCTGACTCCAGCTTCACCACCCTAGCCAAGGGCACCTCCACAGTCCCATGCCCAGCCTTCCCTTCCGGCACCGTCACTGGCATGTGCGTGCCTTCACTACGCCACAATCTAGTGGCTCAAACAGAAATTCAGAAAGCAGGGCTACGCACCATCTTCTCGGAGAATGAGGACCACTGCGACATCATTGACCCACTCACCAACAAGGTCTTGGCCCGCTTCACCCTCAATAGCAGCGGCCTCTACACGCTACGCGTTCCTCTCCCACAGGTTTCAACCACCCAAGCACAGGCTCCCATCACACCATGCACATGTCGCAGCCTCTCCAACCCGACCATCCTCTATCATCATCGGTTAGGGCACCCAAACTTCCGCACGCTTGCTGACATGGCCTCCAAGAAACTTCTTCTCGGCCTGCCAGCCACACTTCCTCCACCACCTGACTCACCCGCTCCCACGTGCCTTGATTGCACCAAGAGCAAACTGCGCCAACAGCCCCACACTGCCTCACCCACAATCGCAGCGGCACCACTGGACCTAGTGCACATGGACGTCTGGGGCCCTGCCCCTGTTCTTGCACGAGGTGGATATCGCTACTTCCTAGTTATCGTGGATGACCACTCACGATACGTCTCTGTTCACCTCCTCCACACTAAGGCTGAGGCTCCAGAGGTCATCATGGCGTGGGTCAAGCAGGCACAGACCACCTTTGACCTCAAGGTCAAGCGCCTTCACTCGGATGGGGGGGGTGAATTTTGCAACGACAAGCTTAAAGCCTTCTGCTCCTCCGAAGGCATCCAGCAAAACTTCACCCTCCCTGACAGCCCTCAACAGAACGGCATAGCTGAGAGCCGCAACCACACTCTAGTGCAGATCACTCGGTGCCTCCTCAGCCACTCCAACGCTCCACACTCTCTCTGGGGATACGCTCTCTACCACGCCGCCCTCCTCTACAACCTTTACCCCCATCCGCACCTTCCCGACACCACTCCAACCACACTCTGGCTCGGGAAAACGCCCACTGCTCGCTCTCTTCGCGTTTGGGGATGCACCGCCTATGTCCTCCTCAACCCTCAGGCTCGACGCCAGAACGGTGGCAAGCTCGGTCCCAAGACTCAAACGTGCATCTACCTTGGGCACAACGCCGACTCACCTGACTACCTCTTCCTCAATCCCTCCACTCAACAGTTGGTCAGGAGCCGCGACGTTGTCTTTGATGAGACCCGCCCATTCTACTCCCCTTCGGGACGGGACCCTCTCCCTGATCCACCCTCCCTCGTGTGGGCAGACTTTGACGCGCCTCCCGACCTCCCGCCTGCTCCTGCCCCCTCACCTCCTCCCTCTCCTGCCATCCCACCATCTCCCTCTGAGGTCTCTGACCCGGCCTCACCGGTGTCTTCGGCGGCTGCTCCGCCCCCCCCCCTCACCTTCCTCACTTCCCGCTGCGCCGCCCCCTCCGAGCGCACCTATCACCTACCATCGGCGGTCCCACCCTCCGGCCCCACCTCCTCCCCCAGTTCCCCCCACCACAGAGGAACCCGCTCTCCCACAGTCGCCCGAGCTGATCACGTACCGCCGGCGGCCCATTCCCCCACCCAAGCCTCCTAAGTCACCCTCTCCGACACCGCCTGCCCCGCCCTCCTCACCGGTGGCTCATGGCACCCGCTCCCATCGCGCTGCTCTTCCACTCGCAATGGTTCTTCGATACACAATGATCACACCGCCTCCTCCTGCTGGGGGGGATGTGCCCTCTACCCTTCTAGAAGACAGGCATGAGGAGCTGTGTGATCTCCATGCAGTCATTCCTCAGCTCTCACACATCTTCCCCGATATCACTGGCTCACCCTCCCTCAACCTCGCGGAGAACCCGACCATCCCTATCCCTCTCACCGTCCAAGAGGCTCTCTCAGGCCCTCATGCTGCCGAATGGCGTGCTGCCATGGACGCGGAGATTGCAGCATTCACTCGCAACCACTCTTTCGATGACGAGACTCCACCTCCAGGAGTCAACATCGTCGGGGGCAAGTGGTTGTTCCGTGTAAAACAGCTCCCAGACGAGGCACCGGTGTTCAAAGCGCGTTACGTAGCCAAGGGCTTCACCCAGCAGCGGTACCGCGACTTCGACCTAATCTTCTCCCCCACATCCAAACCTCCCACCATTCGAACGCTCATGGATGTTGCAGCTCGAGAAGACTTTGAGATCAAATCCATGGATGCCTCCTCCGCTTTCCTACAAGGACGTCTCAAGGAGACAGTGTTCATGGACAGACCAGAAGGCTTCCCAGGAGAATTCCCTCCCAACACAGTCTGGAAGCTGAATCGCCCCGTCTACGGCCTTAAACAAGCCCCTCGCGAATGGCACAACAAGGTGAAAGAAGTCCTCCTCTCCCTGGACTTCCACCCCTCAACTGCTGACCCGACTCTCTTCATCCGTCGTCATTCTGAGCCATTCTACATCCTAGTCTACGTGGATGATTTTATCCTCGTTGCCAAGGACTCGGCCCAAATGACCTCTGTCCAGGCAGCCCTGAGCAAGGCCCTCCAGATGAAAGACCTTGGTGACCTCAAGCACTACCTGGGAATGGAGATCACTCGTGATCGCAAGGCTCGCACCATCTCACTCTCCCAGGAGTTCTACATCGACAATGTGCTCAAGCGGTTTGAGATGGAGCTGTGCACACCTGTTGCCACCCCGCTGCCGCTGCAACACCTCCTTACAGCTCCTGCTGTACCCACACCAGAGGCCTGCTCTGAGCCATACCCGGAACTTGTTGGGTCCCTCATGTACGCCATGATGTGCACCCGACCGGACTTGGCCTACCCAGTCAATGTTCTCTCTCGTTACGTGGCCCCGGGTCGCTTCACTAATCTTCATTGGAAGGCAGCAAAGCGGGTGCTGCGCTATCTTAAGGGCACAAAGTCCCACGTTCTCACACTCGGTGGGCTCTCCCCTCCTCGCCTGGAAGGTTACACAGACTCCTCCTGGGCTGATGACCAGACCGACCGGCGCTCCTCTCAGGGGTACTGCTTCACCCTCGGGAGCGGAACTGTCAGTTGGCGCTCCACCAGGTCGTCTGCAGTCTCCCTCTCCTCCTGTGAGGCGGAGCTCTACGCAGGCACCATGGCTGCTCAGGAGGCCCGTTGGTTCACCTTCCTACTCCAAGAGCTTGGCTTCCCTCAGTCAGCCCCCACCCTCTGGTGTGACAACCAGAGTACCATCCACATCTCTCAAGACCCTGTGTATCACACCCGCACCAAGCATATTGAACTTCGGCACTTCTTCATTCGTCACCTTGTGCAACAAGAGCAGCTGAAGGTGGAATACGTGGCATCTGACTGCAACCTGGCTGACCTGTTCACCAAGCCCCTTGGGAAGGTTCCCCACCATCGTCTCCTTGGCGCCATGGGGCTCTGCGCTCCTCCTTCTCCGCCATGAGTTCGATTGACGCCTCAGGGGGGGTGTTGGTGTTAGGCCCCAATCTCACATTTTGTACTTGTACTTTTATATCCTAGTTTAGTGTAGTTTGCACTTTGTGTTTGGTTGGGTGTACACCCACATCCCAACCAAACCCAAATGTAATCTCCAAGCAATCTCCAACCCACCAATTGGAGATTGCCTTGGGATTACCCTTGATTCCCTAGGATTGCCTCCTGATTCCCTCCTCATCCCTACCTTGCTCATTCCGGATGTACTTAAAGAGCTTTGAGCTCACTACTATAGTATCGATTCTAAGCTCAAGTTCTGACACTCGGACAGAGGCGGAGAGTTCTCCTCTGCCCTCCTGAGTGCCTACTGTCGTGTGCGAGGCATCCGTCAGACCTTCACGCTTCCGGACTCACCACAGCAGAATGGGATTGCTGAGCGCCGCATTGGCATGGTCATGGACGTCGCTCGTACGTCCATGATGCATGCGGCTGCTCCCCATTTTCTGTGGCCGTTTGCGGTCAGGTACGCTGCGCACCAGATCAACCTCCACCCCAGGGTCTCTCGACCGGAGACCTCCCCAGCTCTGCTGTGGACGGGGAAGGTTGGCGATGCGTCGGCGTTCCGGGTCTGGGGATCTCGGGCGTTTGTTCGCGACCTGTCTGCGGACAAGCTGTCCCCTCGTGCTTCTCCCTGCGTCTTCCTGGGGTTCCCCCCCCGACGCCCCTGGGTGGCAGTTTTACCACCCCACCTCTCGACGTGTTCTGTCCTCCCAGGACGTCACGTTCGACGAGTCAGTACCCTACTACCGCCTCTTCCCCTACCGCACTCCGTCCCTCCCCCCACCCCCGCTCTTCTTGGTACCAGGTCCCCCCCCGGTAGTCCCCCTCCCCCCTCGGGGTCCTGCCCCTTCAGGTGTGTCCCAGGTAGACGCGGTTGAGCCTGTCGAGGTCACTGGTGACTCTGGTGCTGCTGCGGGAGCTGAGCCTGGGGGTGCGGAGTCTGGGGGTGCTGAGCCTGGGGGTGCTGTGCCTGGGGGTGCTGAGCCTGGAGGTGTCGAGCCTGGGGGTGCTGTGCCTGGGGGTGCTGAGCCTGGGGGTGCTGTTCCTGGGGGTGCTGCGCCTGGGGGTGCTGTGCCTGGGGGTGCTGAGCCTGGGGGTGCTGAGCCTGGGGGTGCTGTTCCTGGGGGTGCTGAGCCTGGGGGTGCTGTGCCTGGGGGTGCTTCGTCTCGCCGGGAGCCACTCTCCTCACAGGAGCTGCGTGAGTGGTTTGCCCGGCGCTGGAGGCGTGCTGCTGGTGCTGGTGGTTCTTCGGCTGCAGAGGGTACTGCTGCCACGCGTCCTGGCGGTGCTCGTACTGTGGGTGCTGGAGCTGCTGGGTCTGAGAGCTCTCCTGGAGCTGGTACTGCTGAGGGTGTTGGCGCTGAGCCTGCGGTTGGAGGTCCGACTGACAGTACTCCTGGTGCTGCTGCTGGAGGTTCTGGAGCTTCTGGTGGTTCTGCTGGAGGTGCTGCTGGAGTGGGTGCTCCTGACGGGCCTGCTGGTGCTGTTCCTGCTGTTTCTGGCGTCGCCGCGCGGCCCCGACCGTACTTCGTTCCGCTCCTGCAGCAGGTTCTTGGTCTTGCACCTCCTCCTCCTCCTCCCTTAGAGGGTCCGCAGCCTGTCCGGTCACAGCCACAGCTACAGCATGCCTCCCCTTTGCCTGCTCCTTCTCCCTACGCTGGTCCGACTGGAGGTACTTACTGAGCGTCGTGAGCCTGCGTCTCGTCCTGCGTCGCCTGTTCGTACTGAGCGCGCTAGTGGTCGCGGGTCGCGTCAGCGTCCTCCTCCTGTCCCTGGCACGCACCGGATGTCACTGCGTCCGTCCTCACTGCTCCTCTGCGTGCCCCTTTGCCTTCTCCTCCTGCTTCCTCTCTTCCTGCTCCTTGCCGACCCGGAGTCGGACTCTCTTCGTGCTGCCAGTCCTACTGTCACGCGTCTCCTTGCTACTGCTGTCACTGACCCTTCCTTCGAGTCGTCTGCTGCGTCTGCCCTTGTCACTGAGCTTGTCGACTTTGCTGCGCGCTGTCGTCTAGACTACGCTGCTCGTCTTCTCACTGAGTCTGAGTCCGCCTGTCCCTCCGTCCGTCGGGGTGAGTGTGCCCTTGGCACGGACGTCCTTGAGGACAGGCAGGAGGAGTTCCAGTGTCTAGCCGCTGCTTCACCTCATCTCGCAGTCTGTACTGCTAGCCCCTGAGGGAGACCCGGATGCACCAGACATCCCGACTCCGCGCTCTTACGCGGAGGCGATAGAGGGTCCCTACTCCTCTCAGTGGCAGGCAGCTATGGATGCAGAGATGGCTTCCTGGAAGTCCACAGGCACCTACGTTGACGCTGTTCCCCCTCCTGGGGCGAACATCGTCAGTGGCATGTGGATTTTCAGGGTGAAGCGGCCGCCGGGTTCTCCGCCTGTCTTCAAGGCGCGTTACGTGGCTCGTGGCTTCAGTCAGCGGCAGGGGGTTGACTACTTTCAGACCTTCTCCCCCACCCCGAAGATGACCACTCTTCGGGTTCTGCTGCACGTTGCTGCTCACCGCGACTACGAGCTGCACTCTCTCGACTTCAGCACAGCTTTCTTGCAGGGCAGCCTGCACGAGGAGATCTGGCTGCGCCGCCCACCTGGCTTCACTGGGTCTTTCCCTTCTGGTACCCAGTGGAGTCTCCGGCGTCCAGTCTACGGTCTCCGCCAGGCGCCACGTGAGTGGCACGACACACTGAGGACTACGCTCGCGGCACTTGGGTTTGCTCCTTCTACTGCCGACCCGTCGCTGTTTCTGCGCACCGACACCTCTCTGCCCGCCGTTCTACATCCTCGTGTACGTCGACGACTTGGTCTTTGCCACAGCTGACACTGCTGGACTCGCCTATGTGAAGTCCGAGCTGCAGAAGAGACACACGTGCACTGACCTGGGTGAACTGCGTAGCTACCTTGGCTTGCAGATCACCCGGGACAGAGCACGCCGCACCATTACCCTGACTCAGTCACACATGGTGCAGCAGGTCCTTCAGCGCTTCGGCTTCACGTACTCCTCGCCTCAGGCCACTCCTCTGCCTACTCGCCACTACGCTCTCAGCTCTGCCTTCGGATGAGTCCGTAGAGTCGAGTGGTCCGTTTGCAGAGCTTGTTGGCTGCCTCATGTACCTGATGACCTGCACACGACCTGACCTCGCATACCCTCTTAGCATTCTCGCACGCTTTGTTGCTCCTGGGAGACACCGACCAGAGCACATGGCTGCAGCGAAGAGGGTGTTGCGTTACTTGTGCAGTACGTCGGGCATGGGGCTAGTGCTTGGAGGGCGCAGTCCAGTGGTCCCTCACTGGGCACGCAGACGCTTCTTGGGCTGACGACCAGGCTACGCAGCGGTCGTCACAGGGTTACACCTTCAGCCTTGGTTCCGGCTCTGTCTCGTGGCGGGCTACCCGCTCGTCTTCTGTTCTCGGCTCCAGTTGTGAGGCTGAGATCTACGCTGGGGCTATGGCTGCGCAGGAGTTACGCTGGCTCACCTACCTGCTGACCGACCTTGGAGAGCAGCCTCGTTCTCCTCCAGTCCTGTACGTAGACAACAAGGCCATGCTGGCCTTGTGTCGAGAGCAGCGACTGGAGCACAGAACGAAGCACATTGCTCTCCGCTACTTTCTTGCTCGTGAGCTACAGCAGCGTGGACAGTTGCGACTTGCGTACGTGGCCTCTGAGGCCAACACTGCTGATGTCTTCACCAAGGCACTTGCGCCTTGTGATCATCAGCGTTGTTGCACGCAGCTGGGGTCTTGTGCCTGTCTTGCCTCACTTGCTCTCCTCTTGACCTTGCTTGTACCTTCGCCTATATATACTCTTGCTCTTGCTTGCTTGACTCTTGTATATCCCTATATATGATCTTGCATGTGAACTGGCCGTCTGGCCTTTGAACTTGTGCTCGGAATGCGTGGTGACTTTGTGATCCACCCCGAGCTTGCTTTGCTTTGCTTTGCTTGACTGGTCTTGTGACCCTTGTTCTCCCCCACTTTGCCTATGGGGGTGTGTCAGAACATATCTATAGCTTATACTATTGTGTAGGCTGTAGTGGGGTATCCCATAGGGGGTACAACCCAGTTAGGGTTTCATATTTGTACTGCCTTCATTCATAGTTCACACATTCTTGTTCATTCAGTTTCTCATATGTGGTTGTGTTTGGCTGTATGTGCACACCGGTACTCTACTGTACGAGTCGGCTTTCTTCCCTGACCTGGCACGACACGACGTGCGTGGTGCAAAGTGAATGTACCGAAGGAGCGTTCAGCACAGTGCCGCGTCGGCAGCGCAAATGCATTTGCAGTGACAAAGCGGGACTTGCTGCCCTGCGTATATGCAGTCCGACACGGCGAGCGCGATCCAAAGAGAATCTGCCAGCTTTTACAGTAACAACGTTGCAGCGCAAATGAGTCTAGCTCGTCAGCTTGCCTAAAACGAGAACTGCAAAAACAGTAACTTGCAGCTCTACAACTTTCTACATGACAGTAAACAGAATGCTTTTGTTGATTTACAAGCTACACATGTAAGTTGACAGACCTGTCCATGTAATCTGGAGCTTATGCATGTAGGTCAACAAATTAATGACAAATTAGCTCTGGAAATAATGAGCTGAATCTTAAGGAACGTGCGCATCTGCATGCGTATACGCATGAATACTCGCATGTACGGTACCTACCTGCTTAACCTAGACGCGCGTAGACATACGTATACATACGTACGTATGCCTTCATGCACGTAGTGCGTCTACCTACCGTACACACTCGTACGCAAACGCATATGTACATAAGCGTACATGCACCAACGCGTACACACTCGTACGGCCGACCTTTTGCTCTGCCCGCGCAAAGAGAGTCGTTGATGTCGTCTCGCCGGGGACAATCGCTCTTGCTCGACTGATCGTCAAGTGTGACCGATTTTCGCCATTCTGCGCCGTGGTTACGCCAACAAATTGATCGGTTGGATGCTGAGGCGAGACAAGCTTCACTTCCACCATTGGGTTGGGATAGAAAGAGAGAGACACGAAGGGCAGCGAGCGACATAGAGGGAGTGATGGAGGTGCAAGGAAGAGAAGGGGGGGTTGAGCCTCCGTTGTTAAGGAGGTTTAGGGGGTGCAGGAATGCCCGAGATAACCACAACAAGGAAAAGGGTGAATGCTAAAAAGACGATCAAAGTCGTTGTATAGTGGACCTATTTTAGGCCAAAATAACGAATTTGATTGTGCTTTGTAACCTGATTACAGGCCAGACAGTAACTTTTGTTCTCCCTGAGTCCCAAAGATAAATTTGCAACACACCTGAAACGCTAGCAAATGCTAGGCATCATTTTATGCCTTTGTGTTGAATGGCGAAATGGGGTACAGTTCTGTATCGAGGCGCAATTGCAGCTCTTGGCGGGGATGTTATACTGTTCCCGTCGTTGTGAAGTTGCAGCGAGCGAGTGACTCGGCTGTAACCTTCGGTGTAGGTTGCAACGAGCGATTGACGCAGCGCGCTCGCGACAGTTGCGATATCGCGCTGTCGCACGCACCAAGTTCTTCACCCCCCCTTCCCACCCCCCCAACGCAGAGTTTGTCGCTTCACTACTCTCCATCCCATCACATCCCACCTAATCCCCTTGACTGTTCAGTACAGCAACCTGCTAAGGGAACACCACCCATTCCAACCGCTTCGAACCCTTGCTAATCGAGTCAAGCTGAAACCTAGCAGAAGAAATCGAACACTCCCCCAGGGAGTGGGACTCTAATTAGCTGTTCGTTCGGATTGTATTTAGCTGTTGGTCGTAATTAGCTGTTCGTTTAGATTCAGACGGTGACGCTTCTAGTTAGAATGCGTGGGCAGAGATAAGGCTCCTCCTCGCCATCCCCGCACACCCTGACCTGACTAGCTATCAGTGCAGCGTCGGATAGGTATCTCGCACATCGTTCCAGCTGTCACGAGTCGCTCTTATCACCTTAGCGCGGTGCATCGGGCCCGTGTAACCCTAGGTGTGACGTGATCGTGCAATGGGGCGTGTGTGCGGCAGCCGCATCAACGCCATGGCGCAATGCAATAGCAACAGCTGCTATGAGTCGCTCACGGGTCCACGCGCCCGTGCGCCCTGCTTTACGTGCGCCCACGCGCTCCTGCGCCGTGCGTTCCGTGCACCCACACGCACGTGTGCCGTCCTTTCTGTGCGCTCACGCGCTCCTGCACCCTGCTTTCCGTGCGCCCGCGCGATCCTGCGCTTTGCTTTCCGTGCGCCCACGTGCCGTGCACCGTGCGTTCCATGCGCTCACGCTCACTTGCGCCGTGCTTGCGTGCGCTCACGTGCTCGTGCACTCAGGCGCGCCGCTCTCGCCTGCGTGGCATGCGCGAGTCCGCGGCGAAGCAGCAGGCGGCATCCCCCGGCGCGCCCACGCCTTCCGCCGCCCTCTCCGCACTCCCCTCCCCCGACTTCTCCCCCACCGCTATGCGTAAATGCAACCGGGGTATGTGGGCAACAAGGCGGCGGTCTTCCCCTGCAACTGCTGGGCTCGATGTGGACCCAATCAACTCCGTGCAGCTCTCCAACCACACTGGTGCGATGCTGTTGGTTGGTTACTGGTAACCATATTGGTGAGAATGGTAAGCCCTCCCCACGCTGCAGGGCTTCGATGTGCCCCCCCTCAACTCCGTGCAGCTCTCCAACCGCACTGGCGAGAATG